GATCGAATGTTAAATTAAATATAAACGAATCAAAAATGAAAAAATTCAATTTACAGTTTTCAAATAAAAGAAAGAAAGATTGTGGCAATTAGAAGATTTAGATACACATATATCATTTAAATTTAAGAAAAACGAATTTATTTATTTAAAAAGCTTTTATATATTAGAAATAAATACAGCCGAAAATTTATATATAGTATATATAAGTTAAAAGTTTTAAAAATAAAGAGGCGTTAATAATGCGCACCAGAATTATAACATTGTATCATGTTATATCGTGCAAAAAAATGTAGTAATGTAAAAAACAAGAGAATGTATCTTTTATGTATTTTCCAATTTTCTTGTAATATCTTACATTTACGAGATGTAAAATTTTTATTCCGAGATATATCGCGACGATTTCGCTCGTGATATTCGACACCGGTCATAAAAAATACATAAGAGGCTGAGTTCCTCTCTTTCATATATTAAGGAATTAGATCTAAAGGATATTGAGGAATAAAATCGAGTTAAAAGATCGAATTACGCATTCATTGCTCAATCCGATTCACATACGAAATGGTTTCTTCGACTCAACTGTTGTTATCGTTCTCTTTATAACATTGCGGGGGGTTTGTTTGTTGCTTTTGGCACGTTCGCGTTGTCGCAAGCGCATGACATGTATGCTACACGATTTTGGGGGGCCGATAATGATTCGACTGTCGGCTCGATTTGCGTCTCATGATCCTTTCTTTAAGCGACACTTTCCACCAAGAGTTTCATTAAACGGAAATAAACGGACTATACGCACGCGTGCAATTCGCATAGATTGATGTCTACGAGATGTGCTGTCTCACTATTTGAATCTTGAACTGCTGCCAAATCTCGCGGCGATCGAGTAAGGATGGTCGCTGCACGCCAGAGTGATGGACAGCCTCTGTTGGCTTCTTTTTCTCTTTCCGTTATTTGTCGCTGAGAAAAAAATTATATTTTTCATCGGATACATAAAGAGATTATTGTACAGACTTTTCTTTTTCCATTGTTCTTTATCGCAAAAGAAAAATAATATATATAAACATATAATAATGTATGTAATAAAATATATATAAATATATATAATAATATATACATATAAATAAATAAATATAAATATATATGATATATAATATATATTATGAGAGATTGATCTTGTTTTATTTAAGCACCTCTCACAAATGTAATTTTTATATAGATAGATTACCATAAAATGATGTAATATAATTTATTGCTGACTAATCGTCGACTACATTTTACGACGTTAAATATTGGCTGCCTTAAATGGGCGGTATAAAATCTGTACAAGAGATTTTCATCCTTTTAATTCTCTTTATGTATATATAATCTGAGTTTTGTGGTATAAATACTAGAAAATTTAAACCCGATGTGATATTAAAAAGATATCTTGACAATAAATCGTATTAAAATTCATGCTGTCTAAATAGGCACTTGAAAAGCGACGAACATTCCGCGCGGATTAAGCGATAAGCGGAGAGATGCGCGTGATAAAGATTATTGACTTAATCGCGGTAGATAATTGAAAAAAAGAGCGGATTGCGATAATATCAATCGAAAAACATTAGTTGACGTCAATTGAAGGTGGTGGTGGGGGAGGGACACTTTATTTTCGAAATGCGTTACATATCTTTACGCTTTCTGTTTGTGCATCCCGTGTGGCGAATAAAAATACGTTTTCGTCGTTGAAAGTTATATTCACGTGCGATGCTACAACTCACTGATTTTTCATTTTAGCCTGTTTTATTATCTATAGAGAAGACATAATTTTATATGCGAAAAAAAGAGAGATAATTAACTATGAAACGTACGTTACACTATATTTATAAAGCGCATTTTTATTACGTTAACCTTAGCTTCTGTTCACGAATCGCGTTTCTCCTTTATTATTTAAATTGGGCTTATTTGTTCAGACAAGTTATTTATATCCGAGTAACAATGTTTGCGAAGACGATCTCTATTTACACACAAAATACAGAGTGCACATTTCTTTTTGTCATGTAAAACACTGTTCCTCGTTCTTTTGAATTCAAATCTCGGTGTGATTTCAATCATACTTTGCGAGTATGCGCGCGCGCGCGAATAATTGAGCATGTGCACGCATATGTATCCATGCACCACATAGATATTTTTACAGCGCAGGAAAATCCGTCTAAAAATATATGTCGATGGGAACTCCTTAGCTTCGTACATTGGGATCGCGCCATTTCCTCGCAACCGTCGTATAAATTGACCCATTTCGAGAACGTAATTCTGCATACAATTCTCTAACATTGTCCAAGAAATAATCTGCGTCGTAATTGAGAAGTTTACGGTACAACGATCTAACATAATTTTCTTAGAATTTGAATAAATGCTGAGTAAATTAATCTCCTCTATTTCCGCAAACTTTTCTAACGCATTCTATATTTAAATAAATCAATGTTTGAGTTAAAAAATACAAGTATTAATCTTAATACTGGCTCAATTAAAATTAATTGATGCGATTCTTTTTAATCACGAAGCAGATTAATCATTGAAAAGTACCATTCTGACGAGAATGCGTTGCGCTATGTTACAGAAATCCCCGTGGTACATTTATTATTTATGAATGGATGGAGCTGCGACGGGGATCGTTGAAGAAGGATCGGTTGCGGATCTGGGAGATTTAGAAAGATGGTGGAACAACCCAGGGATCGCGGCCTGGAGCTTCGTGCTCTTCGGCTGCTTTCTCCTCAACGCGACTCTTCTGCTCGCGTTTCTTGTACGGCCCGGACTACGCACAATTTCTAACAGGTCAGTGTACCGACTGTTTCGTATCGAGTAGGACGCCAGAATGAAAATAACTATTATTTCTTTTTTGTTTTAAAAAGGAATATCAACATCAATTCATTATCACGCAATCAATCACACCACCAACCCCTTGACATTTTTGTCTAACATTTTGCCTTATATTTTTGTTTTTTAAATATTACCTCTTTATTTAATATCTTAATATCAGAAAAAAATGGGCGGTAACTCTGAATCATTCTATGTACTGCTTATTTTTCAGAAAAAGGATACATGTAGATATATAACGCCATTGACGTATATAGTTGCAAAATTACCATCGTGTTATCACCGATAAGCGTCAATCATGCAAACAACGTCAATCTATGTATGAAACGTTTTCGAAATTTGTTAACGCGATTCATTGACGTATGCTACATATATAATCTTTTACAGATATTATCTTTTTCGCGGACAGTGTAAAAACCGCAAAATACAAAAAAGACACGAGCGTTACGAGTCTCATGATACTTCGCAGTGTCGGTCGTGCCAAAAACCGGAAATAAAACACACGCGTAAGATGATTGGTGCAATAATATATTTAGCCGTCGTCAGATTCGCGTAATACTCGTTGAGTTGCCACGCCGATAAATAATATGCCGTACATTTATTTCACGCGTGTTGCGTTCATGCTAAGGTTAATAACCCCACAAATGCATTGATAGCGACAGCGTTTGCATTTTTTCCCAGAGAATTAATAATCGACAGTCTTAAAGTTTAGTCTCTGCTATAAATAAAATGAAATAACGATAACGTAACATTGCATCTAAAAAAAGGTTTCAAGTTTGTCATACGAATGACATATCTGTGAATCAATACATGTAAAATTTAAAAGCACTCTGATAAAAATTCCGAATTATTTTCCAATTATTGATTATAAATAAGAATTCAAAAATTACGAAATATCGCATATCTCCAAGTTATTAGAATTGTCACATCGTATCAAAATATGATTGCTTAAAAATGATTGAAGTCCAATTTCTGTATCGGTTGCAGGAAATATTATTTTCGTTCGCGTTAACGCGTCTTACGTATTCTTCTGTGAAATGTACAGATATATAGTGCGTGTATGTACTTTGCATCACGCTCGTAAATAAAATCGCGTTTGAAGTGTCGTTTCTATAGATTGCATCTCGCATTTCTTGTGAGACATCGCCAGTCTAAATATTCCAGTTTACGATTTTGGCATGTCGCTGAGGATGTACGATGTAATGCGGAAAGAAGGAAGTAAATAAGTACATTTCTTCGCGTAATTTTCATTGGAAATTAATCATCACGCTCAAATAACTCACAAAGTTTATATTTGTGGACAATTTAAAAAAATAACCACGTACGAAAATAAACGTAAGAAGATGACAGACGTATTTGAACTATGTATATTTGTGGCATATACTTATACGCTGTATGTATGCGCGCGTGTGTGTGTGTGTGGTATATTTATTTACGTATAAATAAAATTTATGATTATATAAAAATTTATAATTGTGTATAATTATGAATAATTTGTTGAAATTTATTTGGATGGTGATTCGAGTAACTTCGATGAAAAACCAAACACATACTGTTCATATTAGTAAGATGTATTAATATAGTTCTGCACTACACGAGGATTGGATCTATCATTGTTATTACGTAGATTTCCACCTGCTAAGCCAGGAAATCAATCATACGTACTTAATACCTACCAAATTTTGGCAACTACCGCAACGAGTATAATAATAAACCTTCGTATTTCGAGAGTGTTTTATTGCTATTAACAGCGTACTAAAAACTAACAGTTTGTATTACTGTCGTAAAGAAGGAAATTTATTCATCATATTATCGTATTGTATCGAGATTTTACAAAATAACGCAAACAATGTTTTGGAGCTATAATTAGATCAAAGTAATTTTTGTCGTTCATTTGGCGGAATAGTTGAGCGAATCTGTCTGTCAATGTGTTGACAGCATAAACATGTGAAACGAAACACTACGAGTTCTTTAAATGTCACTGCACTTTCTCAGGATAATAAATACTTTAAGTTGGCAGAAATCGCAAACATAATTTGTCCGCGAAGAATAAAAACGTCAGACAATTCAATAATTTATACACGCTTGTATATTTCTTATATACTAGTGTGTAACTCGTAATTAAAAATACAGCAAAGACACGAATATGACGTGAATGTAATTTGTGCAAGAAATAACGCTCTTTTTTTCTTTTTTATATCTTATAGCTTTATATTTCTTTTATCTCACGTCGCTTTTTGTCAATGTGTTATATATTAATATATCGCTCTATGACATATTAAATTATAATGATTCAAAATTGGTACATGTAAAATAAGATACATAGCAATAACATGTTTTTCCTCTCCCCTTTTTATTTCTCATCTTTTCCTGCTTTTTATCTCATTTTCTGTAATTATATTTTAATAAAAATTCTTTATATATCCGTGCAATATTGTAATAAACTGTTATTACTCATTTAGTTTAATTTAAAAGGTTTACGTTTCTATTCAATATCTAGATAAGACAATCGCAAAGGCATCGAACACTATCAATATTTGATTGAAGGAAATGGCCTGTTTTATCTCGATTTCAGATTCGTGATGAACCTAACCATCTCGAATTTGCTGACGTGTGCCATGCTGAATCCGCTGCTAATGATGGACGGGCCGGTACAAGGTAACACGTTGACAATATCTACGTCGATGCCGGACGACGCCACGTCGCCGTTCGGCTCGACGTCAACGTCAACGTCAACATCGACGTCCACATCGGTCGCCAGCAATATTTGCGCGATATCAGAAGGCGCGACCGCGCTTGTCACCACATCATCAGTACTTTCGGTTCTACTGATCGCCATTGATCAGTATTTCGCTGTGGTGGACCCGCTGCGTTACCGTGCTCGGGTCGACAAGCTCAAATCGGCCGTGCTGATCGTCTCCGTCTGGCTGATCTCGGCGGGATTCGGCCTGGTTGCTGCTTTGAACCCCAACCCGCGTAGTCTGTGGTTGTCCTGCACGACGACGGTATTGTTAGATAATTCGTCCTTCCGCGAATACATTGCGCCGAACATTTCCGCGATAGCGGAGGCACCGATCGACCCCGCGTTTACATTCTTCGGCAACGAGACGAGTGAGGAGATTGACGACACGACGCCGATGCTTTTAAAGACGATCGAATCGATCAAAATTGATCGCAGCATCGGCCTCCTCGAGAACTCCACCGTGACCTTCCTTACCCTGACCAACGATTCTGTCACTTACGGGCTCATTTACGCGATCATACACAGCGTATTTGCGTATCTATTCCCGTTCGTCGGGGTCTGCTGGATCTACATCAGCATCTACTCGGCCGCGCATCGGAATTCCGAGAGAACTCGCAGGACTGGTTCGCGACCGATCCTGTCATCGGCCAGCTTCTGCGAAGATCCGTATGCGAGACCGCAGCATCAATCCGCTGACACGTTTCCGGAAGAGTTCCGCAGAATACCCAAAATTTCGAGTCTCTCGTCCATCGATGAGACTAGCGAGACCGCGCATTCGGCGGCCAATCAGACGTCGCGTCGAAGATCGTTCTCGTCATCCTCGGACACTGCGCCATCAGGATCAAACGACGAGAAGACATCGTCAGGAATTGTTTTCACGGTCGGCATGCAACCAGTGGAAGTCTCGTCTCCGCGCGAAGAAAACGATAATAATCTGATAGAAGCGGCAGATCTCGATAACGATCGCGGTGTTTCGACTTATGAAAATCTTGTTAGAAAAAAATTTAGTAATATGGAAGCGAATCGCAGGCGGAAATCATCACACGATCTAACAGACGAGATCGGAGAGTCTTCCGAATGGATCGCCGGAGATTCCAGCGGATCTGAATCCGAGGATGATCGACATTATAGTTACTTTGACTCCTTGGAAGTTCCTAGTGCAACTCGCAAGACAGCGGATGAAAGATCTTCCGATTATCTCTTGTCATTCGCTACATGCGAGACGACGAAAGAGCCGTGTGAAAACACGGAAACTTCCAGACAGGATTCCCTCGAGAGGACGACTCGTCCTGTTGAAGAAGCAGAGAATTCTGTCACTGTTAAAAACGCAGAACGGGAACAGGTTCAAAATGAGATCTCGAATTTTAATAGTAATCCGGAGAACAAGAGATCTAGACGACCGAGTCGCCGTTTGTCGAAATCCGGCATTTTTGAAGTTAACGGGGAACCGCACGCGATTGAGCGTAAAAACGCGGACAACAACCTGGAACCCTCGTCTTGCCTCCTGGCGCCGATCGTGACAATCACGCCGGCGCCCGGGAAACCGGGTCTGCAGCGGGCGGCCAGTGTTCGCAGCACTAGCAGTTACATTAACTGTATCAAGCACAGGATCAGTAACGGCTCCTTGTTCAAATATCGCGAGGAGACTCGGGCGGCCAGGATCAGCGCGCTGGTGATCGTCATGGGTTTGATCTGCTGGTCGCCGTACGTGCTGTTAAGTGTCATAAAGAATCTACCGCAGTACTCGGACTTCGAGTTTCCGCACGAATACGACGTGCTCGCTCTCAGCTTCTTGATCTTGGCCGCTTATGCGAGCCCTTTGCTCTTCGGTTATCGGTCTAAACGGGTGAAGCGAGAATTGCGCAAGTTCTTTTGCTTCCATCGCGAATTATCGTACAAAAACAATCGCAGCCTGATGGCGAAGAAGGTGCTGAAACGCCGGCACAGCAGCACTTTAAGCCATTTGGAGATGGATCATCGGTATAACATCTTCAATTGCGTTTACGGTAAAAATAAGTGGCCCAAAGAGAAGGTACAATTTGTGCAGGTGCCAGATACCGCCCTCGCGGTGGAGACTTGCAGAAGTAGCTTCTCCAGCGGCGCCAGTACACAGATCTCCAGCACGTCCACGGAGGAGTGTTGAATCGCGATGGATTTCGCGAAGTTGTGTGTCGAAATCGCGAGAGAATTAGTTCCTTTAAATATGATTATGTGTGAAAAGAGATACGAATGGTGTGAGAGGCAGCGTAAATTATTCCTGCGTTTATATATCGGTCGTCTTCGAGCGATCGAGACAATAACGAAATAAATGACGTGGCCGAATGAGAGAATAACTTGTGTGTATGTTTTGATATGCGAATCGGCATACTTTCACGAGTTCGTCATAGTTCTTAGGTGTTCCAGAGATAGATCGTTCTTTATTTTCGAATATATGAATAGTGCCGAATGACGTTCTCGTTGCGTGCATCTTGCATCCTGAAGTCATGTAAATCGTTCTTTTTCCGACGACTCTCTTTCTCACTTTTACGAAATTCGATCTTGCAAAATAAAAGTGCAATCGATCGTCGTTGAAGCAGTTTGTTTTGAAAACATCGCGAATTTGAAAACTCTCGGCGAGAGACCTCGTCATAAAGTAACTGAATAATACGCATCGGCATCACCTTGCACCGCAATCAAAATAAACGGTTCGTTGCATTGTTTCGAGCTTTGGCGTACGGCGCGATGACCGTTCGACGAAGAGAGCATCCGTATTAGTATTCAGAGCATTATTGTCGTCGGGTATTAGCCAGCTCGAGAAGTATTAGAGTTCGCCGAACCCGAGAAGGAGGCTTTAGTCTTTACGCTTATTTACGTACTGCATTCACGTACTTCCTTCTCCTGCGTTTGTAGCATCGTTTGGTGCACGCAGGTAGATCAATCGGTGCAGCAATGTACACTTTTGAGCGACTATTTATTCAAATGCGTCGTATGCGCTTGTATTGTACGACTCTATGTAGATATGTACACAGTATTTCATGACAAAATTCTCGTCGAAGACACCGCTCCTCTAATTATTATTTTTGTACATTACGAATATATATATATATACATATATACTCATTTATATTTATATTAAATAATTTGTACATATAGAGAGAAAAGGACGGCGAATCTCACCACTGCTAGTTTGTATCCTCTACGTAGAATTACTCGTATCCTGTGTGTGTAAAACTTCATCAGTGTGTACAAGTGGTCTGTAGTAATGTATGATATATTATCATTACCGTTTGGTATTATCCGTCATGGTGAACTCAACACAGGCTGTCTATAACATGTGATAACACGAAACCAATCGCAACTTAATATTAATTAATTTATGTGACTTTCTCAATAAAATATTTTTTGCGAGAGGCAATCGATATGGGGTGAGTCTGTGCATATGTATATGTATGAACTATTTTTCGCGATACCTAAACCAATCCGTTTCCTAATAGATGTTTAAAACGCGTAAATTGTAATTACTTTAATTCTCTTTACAGATTTTTCTTTTTGTGGAAGTTCCAAATTATTACACTTTTATTACAAATATCTACTTTAAAAGCACAAAACGCACCTTGAAGATTGTCGAAATTTACCCAGCTTTTTGTAAAATTCTTTATCTTACGTAATAATTCGCGCCGTATGTTCACGAGCATTTTGCAACGCATTAAACTTAAACAAAACAGAATTTTTAATTATCGCAGCTGTTATTTGGTAAATTGCGCGCTTGCACAATTTCATAAGTCTCAATTCGACGCGAGGAACTTTAACCTATCAACGATCGACGAAAAACGCAAAAGAAAATATCACACTTATGTTTGATATTTTTTTTATCATAAAAGAATTTATATTTATCGATATTTCTCCTTGCGCTTTTCTTGAAAATGATTTTTGATTAATGTTAATGGGTTATTGCCGTTATCATTATAAGCTACGCGAAATGTATTTAGCTTACACATGGCTACTATTTACAGCTTATTCTGTAGAGCAACGGCTCTTCATGGCTCATAACCGAGAATGTTCATAGATCGGCGGTCGTGCCGGAAACCGCGGTAACTCCAATGTTGATAATTGGCCATCGTCGTTAGTAAATGTGCTATTGTCGTATGCCGGCGAAGCGGTCTTTTCCACCTCCGTGTCCACTTTTCTCTCCACCTCCGCAGAACCGTCCATTAGGAACATAGTAAGGAAGAACATAATAGAACCTACGAACAAAGTATCATGAGACCGTCGTTTGACCTTCCGTAACCAAAAAGAATCATGATAGAAGTTTCATTATTTCTTGTAATTATTTTCATTTAGATATATGTTAAAAATGTATGATAATCATTAAAATTATAATTAGGATATACGATAATGATGATAATATATATATATATATATATATATAAATTATCAACGATTAATTTTGCAAAAGTCTCTCAATTTTTTTTACAAAGCTTTTATAAAGATCTTAATGACACACAAATGATGACGAAGACGAATGATTATACGGGACAATGAGAAATAATTTCCAATTCTATTACTTACTGATGCCGTAGGCGCCAGCATAATAAATGTATAATGATTCTCGGAAACCAATGGCCATTCTGGTGGGTTCGACGAGTATCGGTAAGTTTCCGCCGATGTTATTCATGACGAATAAAAAAACGCCAACGGTGGTGGATCGCAGATTTAAAGGAACGATCTCCACCACGATGGCGAAGAGTATTCCAAACCACATTTCGGCTGCAAGCAAAATGACAAGATCATTGAACTTGGAGATAATCACTAAATATATATATATATATATATATATATTTGCGATGTAGTATAAAATATATATCACTATTTAATTAATTATTAAATTATATAGATTTTCTTTGAACGATTTTAGAATTCTTAATTTCATATTTAACATCGCGTCTTACCGAAGAAATAAGAGATTCCCAGTGTGATCATAGCCCAAAGAGGATTAAAGTATACCGAACCGAATGCGAATGGTGTCGCGATTATCTGACTAATTGCCAAACAAGCAACGCGTGATCGAATTCCCATTTTCGCCACAAACTTGTCGCTAACTATCCCGCCGACCACGACACCGATGCTGCCGATGACGATCGTGACGGCGAAAAGCCACCAACCGAGATCGTAATCCGGGAAATAATCCCTGTAGTATAGATCACAATTGTAAGCGAAGCACAAGCCACCTAAAAAAGAAGTAAGAGAGTTCCCGATTTAATAATATTTGTGTAAAGGGATACGCGTAATTGGAAAAAGATTGTGATATAGATAGCAAATGTGTGTGAATTATTGAATTGAAGAGAATCGACTCGTTTCCTTATTTAAATCAATGAGACTCGAATATAGATTTTAATTATCGTAAAAAGAGATTAGAAAAAAAGAGTGTGTGCCACATCGAGGCGAATTCGCTGGTTTAGTGCAAACTCATAGACGCTTGTACCCTCGATATGTATCTCAATCCTTTTGCGTCAAGGTATTGCCCTTTACCGCAATGTCTGATGCTGGCGGCGAGGCATAAGAGAATAATGCGCGGTTGCAGTAGCGCTTTCCAAATCGATACTTGCTTCCCGTCATTGGCTTCCTCGCCGATCGTCTTCCTCTCCGGCTCGGTGAGCGTCAGACCGGTGAGAACGGCGATGATTAAACCGATCACGCCGGCACCGTAATAACATGCTCTCCAGCCCTGCCGATTGACGATTTATCCCGATTACGTTAATTTTTAATTGCACATCTCGCAATCAGTTAAAGCAGTATTTAATTTATAGCGTTATTAACTATGTCCTCGTATTCTCTCGCGTCGTCAGTGTTTAATTCTAAATCATAGTTACTTGTTATACATACAATCATTGTCGAAGAGAGAAAGAGAGAGAGAGAGAGAGAGAGAAATATATATATATTCCACCGGTACTATTATTAAAGCCACTTCAAATACAATCTGATTCATTATGTCCTTCATTCATACACATGCTTTCCTTCCGCACGGAAATTATTTCGAAATGTGTATCGAGCAATTATCCGTTTGAACATACCGACTTTGGAAATCACAAAGCAAACAAAAAGAGAAAAAGACACAAAAGAGACAATTGAAATTGACTCACCAGATCCCAGGCGTTTAGATTGGGCACATAGCGACCGACCGGAAAGGCGATGCCGTAACCACCGTAAATGCCCCAATTAAAAATGGACATGACAAGGCCTCGTTGCTCTTCCTCGAACCAGTCGGACAGAAGACCAGTGGCCATTGGATTGCATCCTGCTTCCCTGCATTATTCGTTCGGGCTTTATTAATACGCAGCGATCCTCTATTGTCGCTCGCGAATGAACGAACGAAACCGGAAGCGGAAGTGCCATTATTACTAGGACTTACCCCGCCGCCAGGACCATTCGTAGAATGAGAAGCTGCCAGTATTCCTTCACCGCTCCGCTCAGGAAGATCGCGGCACTGAATATCAGAGTGCAAACCGTCAGCAGCCTCACTCTGGAAACACGATCGATGCAATACTCGTGGGTTATATAAATTATTAATTGATTTTGTTAATTACCTGTTATATCTATCCGCCGCAATACCCAAGATAATACCGACGATCGTGTAGATCGCGATGAAGCTAGGCCCCGCCAGGATTTGATAGTCCAGACCGAGGCCATTGTAATTCCATTCGCAGTAATGAGATCCGTTCAATTCCAGGGACTCGCAGCTGCGGAACAAAGAACGCGTTATACGAGGACCGAGCGAAAGTGCAACATGATGACGAATACGATAAATTGCTGCGCGCTTGCGGGAGGGAGGCTTTCGATCTGCTTGATTGATGCCCGTTGAATTACCGTACAAATGGAAATTAGAGATGGAGATGGAAAATTTTTTTTTTTTCTATTGGGAATCGCGGATTATTCGTGGCACTTAGCAGTTTTTCCGAAATGTGGACGACGAGTCAATTAATCTTAATGCAATGTCGTATGTCCTCTCGAAACGGTATCTTGTTTTATTATCAATGCGTGACTTAGCGGTATCAAGCCGGTGAATTAATCACAATCACTCACAAGGAAGTCGATTTGTCAGAGGAGGAAATACTGACCACTAATTACGCTTACTGTTACATACGATTCCTGTTTTCAGCTGGGATTTCTAGAGCGCATAGCTGGCACTAACAATAAGTAGACTTACTAAGTGGAATTGTCCGCAATTTCGCATTGCACCGGAAGGTCGACTACCCATAGCGTCGTCGAATTAAATTGGCAGGAAATATCGCCGTAATGCAGGTCCTCGGCGATTTCTTTGGTCGTTACACCTTTCCGAAAAAATTAGTTACCGTTCGTAAAACTAGAAATGCATTGAGAACCGCGCATAATATATAATACACGGGAAAATAAAAAGAAGAGAAATAAAACATTAAAATTCACTGATGATAAAGATGTCTAAAGAATAGAGAATATCAATGGAGGACTTACCTATTATAAAATGACCCAATTCTGCTAGGACATAACCGATCGACAATATAGCCAACGCATAAGGCTTGTAAAGAAACGCCAATTTTTGCATTACTGAACAAAATATTCTTGCTTGATCTGGAAAAAAGAACGTATAACTAAACAGAATCTTATCTTACTTGTGTAGCAAGAGGATTATATAATTAACATGCGATGAGAATTATAGTTGTCGCATTTGTTGGCGGATATATCAACCGTCGCGCAATCAACTGCGAGCTTTGTATTATTATTCAAAAGGATTGCGGATAATGCGCATGTAATAAATTGCTATGAATTTAATTACAAAATATCTAAGTAGCGTCTTTGAATATGTACGAAGAAATTCTTGTGATTTTTCTTACAAATTAATTTGATTAATATTTATATCGATTAATCTGATTGAAGTTAATGATTTCTAAAATCGTTCTCTTGGCATGTCAGTTTTAATCCAATTTTTTTTTTTTTTAAAGAAAAAAAATGATACGACTTACGTAGGTTTTTCCGCGGACATTCATCGTTTAGCGGTGACTCGTGTCATTCATGAATATGAACAATGACGATTGCGCGAATGAGTGCGTTCATCACTGAAACGAGATGATGAGATCGCGAATCGCGATTGGAAATTACGACGGGAAAACTATTGTTACGAAACTACCTTTATTATTCATGATTAATTGACAGTAGTATTTTAATTTCAATAGCCAGCTAATAATAATTATACCGATCGATATAGTATCAAACGTCCAAGGTAATTTACATAAAATGCCATTAATTTACATAAAAATGGTGTGCTGCATATCGTGCTTAAAAGTAAGCAAGTGACGTGAATGCGATCCACGTTCTAACCCAGGACAGATCGAAAAACAATGAAAAACGATCTAATTAGTTACAAATGTTGTACACATTTCGTCTAAAAATCGCTGTTTTAGGATCGCATAGAAAAATGTGTCAATATAAAATTCGCTGCAAAATTATAATTACAAGAAATAAGGAAGTAATATATATGTTAAGAATTTTATCCTCTGCATATCCTCAGATATTATGCAATTTTGTCGTCACAGATTTATGTTTTTACATTATCGTAATATATCACGGAAAGGTTACTAGGTTTAGATTAAAGAATCGATACGATTAGCAAGATAGATGACTAGTGAAGTTGGAAAATAATGCATTACTTGTAACGCCGTTATTGTTATAGTTATTTTTCTTTAACGGTAAAAATAATGGCGTTACAAATGTCTCTAATAGAAAGAATGATTTTGATACATTTTTTCATTAACGAGTAACAAATTCAACAGTTACTTTTATTGTTACTTTTCGAACCTATGCGGCGTGATTTCCGCAAAGAAACACACATGAGTATTAAATATTTTTTTAAAATTAAGTAATTTTGACAAAATATGTAACAACATATATTTTTAATTTTATATGTTTTTTTTTTAGTTGATTTTGTAATAGCTGTAAGTCTTTTTCGAGTAGAGTCACACATTGCCCCATACCATCATATTCTCTCTACTCGTTGACATATCCTTTCTAGACGCGTACACATCATGAAAAACAGTAACGAAAATTGCAACGATTCGTTATTATTTCTATAATGATGACGGTAACAAATTACTTTTCAAAATTGGTTACGAGTGATGATAACGAATTATTCTTTAGCAAAAAGAACAGTAATGATGATGAGTTACTAAAGTAACTTTCCCAATTTTGGATGACAGCATATTTTCGCACGTGCCACGACTGACACGTGATAATTTGCGCAATAGAATGCGAAATTGTGCGCTTGTTTTCATCATGATTTTATACGATATCATGTTTCATCGCACGCGTGAGTATCATCTTCGGGAAAGGAGAACTCATCATTATGATTATGATAACGAACGGATAAAAAAAGCTCACATACACATATTATTGTACACGCGCGAGAAGTTAAGACGCGAGTCTTACGCCGTATATATGTACGGCCAGATCACCTTGAACCAAAATCATTGAAATGGAACGAAAATTGTCATTTGAATATTATTAGTATCATTCAGTTTGTTAGAATAGCGACTCACCACTTTAATTTGCAAACGAGAAAAACGTCCCCTTAAAATTAATCATATTTTAAGATCAATCACATTTATATATATTAATTTAAATCTTATATAATATATAATTTTTTTATTTTCATAATGTTTATTTTATCTTATACTTTGTTTGATATATACATATATCAATTTGATTTATTTGGATTTATAAAAAATATGCAATGCGCGTAAAAATGAGGCAAAGATGAAGCTGACGGGGCTAATAGGCAATCACAATCTATGAAGACCGTTACGCTTCATCTGATAAAACGGTGGATATCAAAGGAAGATAATGGTATTTTTGAAGAAATGATAATGAGATCGATAAAGGAATCATGATTGTTCGAATAACATGAACATCTCAAATTAGTACGAATATTTCAATATCGACAAGAAATGCAATTATGTATAGATACACAATGGAATGGATCCACAGAGGAATTCCTTCACATTCCTATTAGCTACATCAATTAGTTGGTAATTGATATCGAGATGTGAACTTGGCAATGAGGTATAATGCTGTAATAATCATAAGATGTTACATGACAGTAAATTTTCGTTTCAATAACATTTTATCAACGTCAAAATGCACCCGATGCATGGAAGCGATGCAAATGCAATGTAATTCAATCCGCTGTAATTACACGCGCGAATAGTGCACTGATACAATCAGAGATATGCACGCGAAGCATAGTTATTTGCTATAGTTAACAACCGATGTCTGCGTATGTCTGACGACTAATAGCTAATCTATTTGTTCGATTATAGTGTAGTTGAAAAACGTAAGAGATAAGATTTGTATGCAAGTTTTTCATTATGGCAATGCGTGAATCGCCAGAGAGTATCTCGGGTGAGCCGGAAATTCTTAGATGGGAGAAACATAAGATTGAGATTTATGTATAATGTAAAAATCCTTGGTCGCGGTCGCGCATGATAGATGGATAAACGCATAAATAAAATTGCAATGAGTGGGTGTGCATGTACTACGTAAAATTATACGTTGTATCTTTTCGCGGCATCTTCGCCGCATTTGATTCGCAGAATAAAGCTGATGTTATAAAAATATCGTCGTAAGCGAGGATTCTGCATCGTATGCGGCAATGATATTTCGTCGGATAACAGCAGAAAAAAAAATAACCGTCTCAATTATGTTTTACTATATATTTATTCGTGTCTTTAGAAGAATAACGGGAAGATTGATGATATATAACTCTGTACTTTATATAATGCAGCGTGTGTTATGTGGATTGGGAATTTCTAAATATTATTCATCAATTTACGCGGATGTTGACGCACGATGTTTTATATGATTGTTTATTCTCTTCTTTTTAATTGTAGCTCGCGGTTTGTACAAATAATCCATTCGATGTGCTCGACCCACAGCAATCTTACAAAGCGTTTCTTTTTTACTTTCTTTAACTCGATAAACAGCACGGCGTGTAATACAATTAATCTTCATTGCGCGAAATCATCGCATTACCGCATTATTGCACAGCAGATACATGCGTATCCGCGCGTTAATCTTTATAACTCTGTCATGGAGCAGATAACGAACTCGTGTGTAACAGGTTTCTCCAAGCAATACTCGCGCGATCATGAAAATTTTTACTAATAATTCCAACGCGACAATTGCACTAATTGTAGAACATATTCTTTTTGAAAACTTTGATTAGTTTTTGTAATTAAAAATCCTTTGAGGTCTTTGAGTGAATCGGAATTGCCACACATCTATAATCTGGATTTTTGAAGTATCCTTCACTTTACTCGTAATTTGCGAAAAGTCTCATTGGTTGCGTTTTTTTATGCAAATTATAAAATAATAAAAATAATATAAAAGTATAAATATACGAAAATATAAAGTTAAAGTAATCGAAACTTAGCATCTATTAATTTAAGACTTTGATCAGAAGCTTAGCTATTTTGGATGTTTGTTATTACAAAGTAGAGAGTTGAGTGATGGAAATAGAGGCATCGTAAAACGCATATTTAAGACGAACTTTAATTACGTTCCTTTAAGGCTACTTCAGAGATTATACAGTAAAATTGTGCAAGAGCGGAAAAAGACGAAGAAACATATCACGTTGCTGTCAAAGCTGTAATTTCCGAGATCAAATATATCGCGTCTTATATCTTATTACGCAAAAGTGTCATTTGTTCATGTTACATCAACGCCGATTAAAAGGGAAGTACTTAATGATCGGAAAAATCGTTTCGCAACATCAATATAACGACGAGCAGAACGAACGGGCGCGTCGAAAAACTGTTCATTTTTAATAAGCGATTGCATAAACGCACATTCTTAGAAATATGGAGATTATAGATAGAATCTAGCAATTAGGAATCTAGCAATTCTGTTTTACAGTTATAAGTAAACACAATCACAATTTTTCTTCGAAAGACTCCACAAAATATCGACGTGTCCTCATATAACGTGAATTACTTCGCTTAAAAAAATTTACAATAAAAAATTCGTTCATATAATGATTTATTCGTACAGATTAATATTGCAAGGTATATATCGTATTATGCACTGTGCGTTCATGCGTTGCTAAGAATTATCATAAGGACAAAAAAAAGGAGTAGATCAAGGAAAAACGGTGCATCCTAGTCGAATAACATGCGATAAAACGTGCAAAAATACGCGAACGATGAATAGCGAATTACACGAGATAATAAAATTATAAATTATATGAATACGTATATATACATATATATATATTCGCGTAGATTATGACGATTAAAATATAAATACGTATTCATATATATATTCATATTCAAATTAGATATCTGTAAAGATATTTTAATTATCTCCGTTTACTGACAATCGACAAACTGATGTTATCATTTATATCGAGAAACGTAATCTGTTTGCGAATCTTAAAGCTCTTATACAATGATCTTCGTGAATGTATATATTTTTACAGTAACAGTTTACTCTCGGCTCTCCCTTTCGATATATTATTTATACATTGTCCAGAGAGCACCCCCCTTCCTTCTCCCCTACCCCTGTTCTTCTCCCCGATCGATCGATTAAAAGCCACCTGCCGTCTCGCTTTTCCCGAGGGGAGCTTTTCGTATTTTCCAGCCGATTGGATTTAATGATTCTTTTCAGCGTTGCTCGAGAGAGATTCCGCAGGGCGACGAACACCGTTGTGCTTATACAGGGTGTTCCACGAAGCGTGCATCATATTACGAGAACGCTCTTACAAGCCTAGAGATGACCTTTCTTCGGTGAAAGTTTGATCGAGTAATGAAAAATATATATTTGCTATTACAGCGATGCGAAAGTTTTATATATTTGAGCGATATTGTTTCTTAATATCATATTCAAATTTTCGCTTTCATTTTATAGATATATAGGATAAATTTAATTGCACAAAATAATTATATATCTCTTTTTTTTTATATAAATAAGAGCAGTACAAATGATTTCGTAAACATACAGATCGCAATACCTGGCGAGATACGATAATAGGAAAAATTGGCCATGAAAATGAACAGACAGTATAGTTTTACGTCGATGAATAAGCTATGTCAACTAATAAGCTATTTATGGCGTATCAGATCATCTCACGACTAATAAACATATATTACATAAATCCATTAAGTTATCCATGAGTAAATCCACGAATTCATTCCGCATATTGGCTAACTCATAACTGCACATATAGTAAATACAAGTATTGTAAATACGAGCGTATAAATACACGTGTCATGGATGCAAACGACGCGAATGAATGCGAATTTACGTGTTGTATACTTATTATCCGTGATTATTTTATCAGTTGCGAATAATTTATTGATTATTAGCGTCCGCCCGTCGTTATTGCATCTCTCAAATATTTACGAGACTATTTTACTCTGTCCAATTTGAGCATACATTTATTGTACGCAATCAAAGATTTTATATTATCTACCTATTTGCAAGATTGCGAGATTGAAGTTAAGACAATAGAAATATGGCCACAAAAGAGTTATTAAAATAATTAATAGTGATTTCGCGTGTAATGAGAGATCGCATCACGATCGACCGCGACGTCAAGTTCGCGTCATTCGCATCGTTCGAAACGGATGCGAGAGATTTTAATTAGAGCTTTGTGCGCTAACAAGTTGAAGGCTGAACGAACGTTATGGGCGTAGATCGTGCGTTGGCATCCTGGATTGGACGCGGATCTAACGAGCCTCTATCGTGAGTTATGAGTCCCGCAAATAGCACGGAACAGCGCGGCGTATGCAATAATGATCGCGCTCGCATAAATTAATTAATTGCGCAATCGAGAACATCGAGTAAAAAAAATCCATCGCGATCGCGCGATTCGTTTGTATCGCATGCGATCAACTCGAAAAGTTGATTCAACATTTGAATTCGTGAGCTGCCAATTAGGGTAATCTTCGTGTTCGTCAAGTTTCTCGTGTTTTTACGCGTGTGCTATTAATAATTGAGTTTCATATTTGCATGCGTATGCGGATCTAGATTTTTGCACGTGTCGATTCTTTTACTTATGCCGAGTTTTATAAATAGCGCAAAACAAGGAGACAGCCGCGCGAACACGATTCTTACACGGTCGTATACATATTGTATATTACATACCGTTGTATTACGTATACCTGGAATTTTTTATGTATTGTCTTTCATTCGCACGTGTATTCAATACTTTCACTACGTGCCTTTTTTTCGCATTCAGTGTCACTCGTGCAAAATTTAGTTCCTACGAATGTTATACGACATTACGCTTTAATTACTGTCTTTCTTCCAGCTAATTTAATTTTTCTTTAGCGAGAAATATATGTATACATATATATATATATCAAGTTTCAATATTTAATATTCTGTTAGAGAGTAAGTTTTGATAAATTAAAGTAGAATTAATTAAAAAATATGAAGCTGGGAAAAGAAGTTAAAATACATAGAATAGAAGAAAAAAATTTTTAATCTTTCATATATATATATATATATTTTTTTACAAATGCCTCGCATATTTTTATCCCAACAAATTTTTTACTTGTCTCTTTCGACAAATGATAACGCGAAAAGTATATAAAGAGCTTATTTGTTCTTTTTATTATCTATCGTTAAGAAAAGCTTAGCGAGTAATTTGCTCTTCTGGGCTTCGTGTAAAAATCTCGAAAATTAACAGGACTGCGAAAGAGTACTCACACGTATCCTTTGACAAAATCCGTGAGATCAAGATCCCCAAATTCCAGAAAGGATCAGGAAGAATCCGCGCTCGCAATCAGTGTTGGACCGGCCGCGCAAGAATCCGATGATAAGGGAACCGGAGGAGGAGAAAGGAAGTAAGATGAGAAAACACGAGAGAGAAACGGAACGTTCTCGTGGATCGATCCCTCCGTGTACGGAGGGTGGAGCGTTAAATGAGGCGCGAGTCGGTAACCAAGCTTCATTTATAAGAAAGTGTCCAAGGATCTTCCTTCTGTCAGTAGCAGCCGCGAGCTGGAGGAAGGGATACGAGACAGGATTACGGACTTTGCGATGCGTGTATGGAAAAACTATACTTCTCCATGGTGGGAGATCACCACTACTACGGGAATACTCGCGAACTTCGATTTTCAAGGTCGCGTCGTGACTTGACCGCTTGCACTTCGCTTCATTATATCATCGCGTTTGAAATAACAGAGAACGAAGAGAAGAGAAGCGGGGAGAGGCTTACGACGTTTCGCCACGGAAACAAAGAAGTCCTTCGAATCACGCGCGTTGGTAATCCAGCGGAAGGCATAGAGAGATATCATGGGCTTTATCTCGAATAATTACTATATAGCCGTATTTAGACACATTTGTGAGAGTAGATGGACTTATTATTTATTCGAAAGATAATTATTAATACCTTATAGAGAATCTGGGCAACATTCAACATATTGATCCTTTTCTCTTGTAATTTTATATCAAACGTGTGAAAAACTGTTCAACAGTAGCTGGCTAATTAGTACTTACCAATTCTTGGGAAGTACTAATCTCTGTCAAGTGTGGTAGAGCACAATGAGCAGTCTAGGGTGATTGACCTCATAACTCGAAGAGTGGCTCACATCTACGTATATACCTACGTGACACATGATTGTATATAACATTGACATACTTCCCCGTGCTTCTCATGTGTCATGGTTCTTAAGTACGCGGCAATACAATAGTAAAGACAGTTCGACGTTTCTTCTTGAGGGGCAGGAGCAGGACATACACTATTAGTCGCGATCGCTAATCGGAGAACGTGATCTTTGGGGGAGGGAGGTTAAATGAAACTAATCGCATACCACGATTATTCATCGTGCCGCTCCTTCGATGCGTATCTTGGTACGCATATTCGAGATGTAAGAGATCTCGTTTCTGTAAAATATAAATTACATTTGTTTAATACATTTCAAATATTTTGATTTTATTGATTTTAGCTGCGTTACATTATTGCAAAATAGCGGTTATTATTTGAATCTGGGCAAAAATATAGAAGTCAAAATACGAGTTAATACTGTCATAAATCTGTGCGCTTTTTGTAGGCGTGCCTGTCTCGTACTCATTCACTATATCTGCGACTGGATCTCTTAATTTATATGTATACATATATATATATATCAAGTTTCAATATTTAATATTCTGTTAGAGAGTAAGTTTTGATAAATTAAAGTAGAATTAATTAAAAAATATGAAGCTGGGAAAAGAAAGTTAAAGTTAATAAATTAAAGAAAGTTAAAGTTAATAAATTAAAGTAGAATTAATTAAAAAATATGAAGCTGGGAAAAGAAAGTCAAAATACGAGTTAATACTGTCATAAATCTGTGCGCTTTTTGTAGGCGTGCCTGTCTCGTACTCATTCACTATATCTGCGACTGGATCTCTTAATTTCGAGATTGTAGGATGTCTAACCGGATACAGCAGGACAAAATTATTCTGTCGAACGAAATGTAGCGGAAGCTTAGGATTATTATGTTAAATTTAGAAAGTTTGCTCGCAGTAATAATTGGATTAAATTTTATTTAATTATTCCTACTTCTTTGCTATATTTTAAAAAATAGTGCATATTTTCTCCTGTCCCTTTCTTTCTCTCTTTCTCACTGATTTAATTAACTTTATACCCTGCCGATACCGCATTTAAGCGTTTCACGCTCGATTCTCCTCCGCTATCGAACGTGTCAGCCACATGTGACAAGTGCAACAATCGATGTTACCGTCAACGATAGAACTCGCGACATAATTGAAAGATGCATGCGGTGCGTGTATACCAGTGGAAGGTCGTTTGATTCGCGAGCAAAACCTTCGTTCCCGCAAAAGTGTGGGTCATTAGTGGCTGGGAGATACTGATTATGGATCTAATATCGTCCACAAGCGACCCCGACCTGATTTTTAACGAGCGATAGAAAATTTTGATACCAATTAATTCGAAATCATTTTGTTTCACGAATGAAACACGTGAATTATCGTTTAATCCGCTCTCCGTTTATGTTTATATAACACAAATCTTTTTTTTAATTTTAATGAGTTTATTTTAATCTCTCTTTGCATCTTTTATAATTGTAAATTTTATGTTAGACATAATTATAAATGTAATCAGTGATTATATTATTTAAGAAGAAATATACGTGAAACATAACAAACGTACGCTAATAAATGATATCGTTGCAAAAGATCGGTTCGGCAAACCCTTCGACTAATCTCGTAACGATCGACTAATATCGATCCCGATAATTGACCGATTAAGATTCCCGCGACAGAATCTTTCGCATGCCAGAGTGAGATTGAAAGGAAATTCGCACTCGGGAGAGATTTGTGAGGCAATTAAAGGAGCGCGCCTTCAGTACGCACTCTCGTTGTTATCGACCATCAGGAGAAGAGGCCGAGCCGAGCTGGCTCGAGCAGAACCGAGCGACACCGAATTGCGGACGCAGAGTCAAGCCGCTCCGTGAGTCGTCCCTTCGTCGGCCCAGGACCTAGATCCCGTCCTGCAAACGCGCGGATCGGGATTTCGGACTACTTGTCGATCGCAATCTCGAGTGAGCGAGCGAACGCGAGATATCTCGCGTCTTTCGCTCGCGTCTTTAAAACGGACGCGAAGAACTCGGAAGAAAGAATCAGTCTTACGGACTAGCACCGTGTTTACATTTCCCGATGGGAAATACCAGGATCTCCCGACGTTCATAGAAATAGAGGAATCTTAATTAGATGCGCTTGTGAAACGGAATATCTCGCTCGGTGATCGATCTTATGTCAGTGCCCTGACGTATCCTTCGCATTTCGTGACTCGATCGTGCCCTTTATACTTTTTGCGATTCATCGTGTCAATGTTCCGCGTGTTAATAATGGCCCCCAGAGTGTTATCTACGGATCCGCGCGTTGATACATGGCGATCAGCTTGTGTGTGAGACGCGTTAATTCTTATCTCGACTTCGTCTCTTTCAATGATTGTCGGCATCTCGCAGATGATGCATTAGGTCCGTCGAACTTAATTGTTCGAGGGCGACATCGCGTCGTTCATAATTTTAATTCGATTTTGATTCTAAACGCAGTGACGACCCGTCATTTTTATACCAAGCGCGCGATCGTTGACGTTTCGCTTCGAGCTTAACTTTAATTAAATCTAAAGTGACGCGCGAACTCACGTGGGATGCAAGTATTCGTGACGACTTCCCTCTTGAGTTGCTAACATTTTGCGAGTGTCACGAGTGCAAATATTTAATGTCGCGTGTCATCGACTCTTGTATTTGATTTAAGCGTCCAAGAGGCGACGTGCGAAATTCGTACTGCGAATGTCGATGGCAAAGTTTGTTATCGCTATGAAAACGACGAGCGGTTTCTCGAGCGACGATCATGAACCGTGACGATCCACAGCGTGACAACTGGCTAAGTTTTGGCAGCTTCTCGTCAACAGAAATCATGGCAAATGTCGAACGGCCGCACAGCAGCGTGAACGCGAAAACGTAAGCTTCGCTCTTCTTTACGACTTTTTTTTTTCTCTATTACCACCCCGCTACAGTTCTTTCGGTTTGCAAGACTTAAATTCGTCTTTCTGACGATCTGCAACGTCCTCCGTCTAAATATACAATTCGGGCTTACGTACAATAAACTGCTTCATCATTCCGTTGTCTTTGATTCACTCTCTGACAGTCGCGTTATATTACCGTCATGTGTAAAAACGTAGCGTGAAAAAATAAATCCCGCTTCGCACGCGGTTCTATTCTCTTCTATTAGGCAGTTTGTATCGAAATAATTGTATTCCGATTGAAACGTGAATAGAGATAAAATTAATTTTTCAACGGGATACGATACTATATATGTATAAATATAGACTTCTTAATTTTACAAATTATATTGGCAATGTTAACTTTTTAAATTATTTCTCTCTCTCTCTCTCTGTCTCTCTTTCTCAGGATAAAATCAATTAAAATTGATTACCAATTAATTTGAAAGTAAAATTTCGTCATTTATTTCTTTTTTATTGACTCTAGCGAGTGTTCAACAGGGCTTTGTTAGAAAAAGAGAGAGATGAGGGATTTACAATATTTTTTTTTTCATTCTCAATCATTGTACCTCGTTACTCGAGTCCGGCGGCGCAAACCTACGTAATTATCGGCAGCTTTAATGTTACGTGGGCCGACACGAGAATAATAGTCAAGGTCAGGAGCGCGGACAGTGCTGAAAAACGAAATATCGATTGCGCACCGTGTCGCATCGGCCGCATTTTCCCCTGTGACGCACGTCGTTGCAACGCCGCGAGATGCATCCAGCATCCACGCAGCGGATATCTCACACGGAATCCAACTGTAACGCGCTACCGCCACAGGTCTTCGAATCTTCCAGAGACGGCGTAGAGCCAGGGAGCGAGAGAGACGATCAATTGATATTGACGAACAATTAGGTTGTTTACATTTCTCCCTCAGTGGGATTTCAAACTTTTCATTTTATATCCAATTATTTTTTCAATTATTTTTACCGTCACATTCTCGAACTGGAACGTTAATGCGATCATTTTGAAATTGTTCTCATTAGATTTTATTATCGCTACGATAGATCTAACGATGTATAGATCTGCTCGTTGCTTTTATCTTTATTTCTTTCTTCTTTTCGATCTCGGGTCCTCCGCAGATTCCCCGATATCATTAGTTAGATATACGCCGCTAGATATAATTTTACACGTGGAAACTGGTTCACCTTCGATTGACTGACTACACCCATATAGCTTCGATTTTTTTCGATAGATCTCCACACCAATTTGCCATCGTCGAATCGCACGCGACACGCACGTTGACGTTATGAAAGATAAAAAAACGAGATTGGATGTATGAGAGATTCATGATCGAGAGAAGCAAAAAGTTAGCCATGAATCGCTTGAGTCGCAGAGCCGATGTTACTTTCAGCTTGAAAACATTTACTCTCCGAAAATTCCTCTCGCTAACCGAACTACTCGATGGGTTCCAATGAATGCTCACTCGAATGTTTTGTTCTTTAAAAAGAGACATTTGCAAGTGCTGTTCTCGAGTATACATAAATGCCTCGTAATTCTTCTGGCTCCTTGTTGCGGTGTATCACAATCTGAAACATTTCAATAGACGCGAAAATTATGATTGTTTTAATCCAGAAATGAACGAGAGACATGTCAAGTAGCAGTGATCATCTTATCAGACATTCTAATCGTAGTTTAAAAATCTCGTTATGATAAATAAAAGATTTGGCTTGTGATTTTATTTGATATAAAAAAGCTTTCCAATTATTGAAACTAGTCTAGAGATCTAATGCTACAAATTAGAATATAAATGTAATCGTTTCTCATTTTTGATCCGATCGTCTGATAATAAGGATTGCGCATGTTCCCTAGAAGGTGTGTATTGCGAAGCAGGTGTTTGTTGAATTGCAATCTCGGATTACATAAGCAGATAATTATCGTATTCTCGGCGAGCACATATCGCTATTGATCTCCTATGTTTTTTTCTCTCTCTCTCTCTCTCTCTCTCTCGATCGAATTAAAATCGTGAATGCCACAATCACCGAGCTGTTTTACGCCCCGTGAATTTGCATCTGTTTGCATTTCCGGTTTTAACCGCCGATTGCCGATCACCGCCTATTGTACGAAACTGTTCGACGAAGTGACATCCAAGGCCTCATACTGTGTGGCTCATTTATTTATAGTTACACTAACGGCTCGCTCACTCAGCAAGTTCTCGTTCAAGGTTGCGCAGGTGACCGCTAGAATTTTTATCTTCCGTTTTTTTTCTCCGTCTCGTAATTAGTCCGAGAATCGTCACAATTATGCAAGACGCGCGGCGATCTTGTAGCAATTCCTTTACTTAACGGTGCACATCGCGATCCTTCATCAGACCTCGAGTGCGTTTGTCAAAGAGATGGATAATTGCAATTTCGGAAAATTCTGGGTATATGTATACGTCAAAATGTATCGAGAGTTTCTCACTCACGTACTGCTTTGTTCTTTTCGAAGCTCCAGATTTAAAACTTTATAGAAGATGAAATATATTTTTATCCAGCTTGCAAGAGTATTTTAAATTGCGAAATTTTTAGGTATATATATATAGAGTGTCGCAGACCTACCGCACCACCTGCTAATGGCAGAGTCTTCAGATCATTTGGAGACAATTTTTTTTCAGCGAAAATGTCAAGGCATCAATAATTTCCGTGTTATAACCGATTAAAAAAGGAGGGCTTTTTGCAAACTAAAAACTTTATAGAGAATTAAAACTATATACTTTAGTTAATTTCAAAAAGAGTTTACTTTAATAGAGAAAGAGAATTATAATTTAAGGCTTAATTACAAAGATATATGATGGAAAAAATTGGGAACTTGCAAAAAATAATGACCTCTCTTGCTAAAGAAAAATCATTTCTAAATGATCTGATAATGAAATTTACTTGATAGATATGAGATTTTAACATACAAAATTGAATTTGTATATATAAAAAAAGATAATCACGTTACGCTTTGTACAAAGTCTGTTGCTTCCGGTTTAGATGACCAACTCGCAGATGGAAAAAATGATCATGACGGTGGTCACTCGATCGTAATGAGATCGAGCGAAGGACCTGATCGCGCGTGAGGAGGTACCATACGAATAAGCGACAACGGCGGAAACGGGTGGAAACGATGGGGTCCTTGCCGAATCTTCATGAGCTGTCCAAGGAGAAGCTGGAGAGCCCGGTGTACAAACCGGCGCCGATCGGCGGTCTTGGTCCAGTGCGATTGCCGCCGCAGCCTCCGCCGTTGGCGCACTCGCATAAACGCGCGAGAAGCAGCGGACATCATCATTCTACCCTGGGCGATAATGATGCCATGCTGGAGGTACCGATAATCCATCAATAAATTCGATTTAATCAAAATGTATACGAAATCATAATTTCTGAAGATATATTAGATATATCGGATATTTTTCAATGTGTTCTAAAGATTCAACTTAAATCTGACCGCCCACGTCTAGCACAAACCTATTCTATAAACATTCTATAAATATCCTTCAATGGGGAATGAATATTTGAATATTCTAATAAAGTAAAAAAGAAAACGATCTATGAATCTGCATAGAAAAATGAGACTGTTCTAAATACAATGTTCTAAGCAGATTTATAAATTCTTTTAACACGAGAATATTCTACAAAGATTCATAGATAATTCTATAAGAATATCCTCAAAATAATATATTTGACGCTAAATAGAATAGCCAAAGAATATATTGCGCTATCTGGGCGTGATTATTGAGATTCTAAAATCCTCCAGTTTAAATCTAGATCTATAAATTCAGATTCGCATCAAGAATCGAAGAAAAAACGCGCGACTTAGCATAATGAGTATTCCGCGAGTGTTTTACCGTTTCTAATTTTCATCGCGTTATTATTAATTGCTACCTTATCGCGCTTTGTTTTTAAGTATTGCCGATCGCGCCGAGTCACGCTCGCGGAAAATTTCTGTTCCCGTTAATCTTCCGGCTCGTCTCTCATTTTGCAGCACATGGCGGCATACTCGCCGATCTCCTGCCGGTCCACGCGCACATCGGCGCTGTCGTGGCGACGTCGCGATTCCATGAACTCGTCGGCGGGCGCGTCGTCGGTGCGCCGGCTGATCGCGGCGGTCCGGGCGACCCCGGCCGGGCCCCGGCCGCCGCGTAAGGCCGTGTTACGGCACATCGCGGCCCTACTGCTCGGCCACGCGAGCTGCTCGGCCGCCACGCTGCCCATCTTCCCGTTGCAGGCGGGCCTGGGCGCGTTCGAGCCGCATCTGGGCCCGGTGCTTCTGGCGCAGCTCTACATGATGGCAGCCGCCACCAGCTGCTTCGCCCCCATCGTCGTGCAACGGCTCGGCACGAATCTCGCCATCACCGCGAACCACGTGGTCACCGCGATCTTCGTCGGCGTGCATTTGTATCCTAAATGGTACGATACCTATGATCCTGATACGAGACGCCGTTTGCATCTTTCGAGTTTTAAGAATTTCAATTCTCTTATTCATTATTCCTATTGCGATTGCAAATATTCTATTTAATTAAGTTTCTTTTTGTGAAATAATCTTATTTCATCAAAAATTTGATTTTAATTATTATCGCGAAATCCATTTATATCGTATTGCGTTGGATATTGATATCCTATAATTCCTTAAGAGAGAAAACGAATCTAAACGAAGTAAGCTACGACGCGAATTATTAAAATATAAGTATATACATATATACACGTTCTCTTTGGCATTTTAGGTATATACTCGCACCTAGCTACGCGATGCTAGGTTGCTGCGCCAGCTCGAGCTTTTTAGCGAGGACGTCGCACGTCAACGTATCCGCGAGTAGTCTGGCGATGGTCTGCGTCGACCCTGAAGATCCGGATGAGACGCGACGCGAGTGCCTATTGAGAAGGCTCAACCGGGGAATCAAACTGGCCGAAGATATTGGTCTCGCAATCGGTATTTTCAATATTTCCTTTAATCTCATTGTCAGTTAACTCCCCCTCTCCCCTCCATAGAGTATACATATATGTTATTAGTAAACTTTTTAAAATCTACTGAGGGATTATATAATTACAAATATTTTAATTAATTTTGTCCAAATAAGTCATTGAATTTTATTTATGTTTTTAATATATATCTATATTAATTATATGAATAATATCATTATTTTTCTGTAACAAATAATATCGTCGAAATGTATAAAAATTACTCCCTTTTTTTCTATGATTTCAGGTTGCCTCATCGCCGCGGTCCTCGTCAGGCTAACGGATCCGCTACTGTCTAGTATAATAAACAGCGACATAGGGGATGTCTGCGGAGCTGAGTACTGTTCGGAGGAGATGTACTTCTACAACGAATCGCTCTACGTGCCGACGATCGCCCCAGGCACGTCGAGGGTGCTCGTCAGTATTTGGCTCGGTCTGGCAGTGCTCGGCTTAGGCATATCCTGCGCGTTTCTCGATTCGAGGATGCAAGAGCCTCAGGCGAACAACGATCGCACCAGCGTCAAGGATATCCTCAAGTCCGTTAAATGCGCTTTTCAGGATCCGAAGCTTCAGCTCGCGGCGCCGCTCACGCTCTTCATCGGACTGGAACAAGGTTTCATCTACGCCGATTTTATGGAGGTAAACGAAACGATTCACGGCTCAATTACGAAATTTTACATTTGCTTCATTCGATATTAATTATAATATATAAATATCACACTCGATGGCTTCCCTAAATTTTATTTAATATAACTCGGGGAATAAGTAATCGAAATTAAAGAAAATGTTAATCTATTTATAATATTTTATATTATTTTTGGAGTTCTACTTTATTCAGAAAAAAAAATTATGAGAAAAAATTCTCTTTTTCTCCCTTCCAGACATATATAAAGTCCCACAGAGTTTCCTCTTTCGTGACTTATCGCTTGAAGAAATATTTTACGAGCTCAAATATACGACACAAGTGATTTTTTGTAAAAATTTCGTTAAACTATTTATAAAAAAAATTAGTATTATATATATTGGTATTGTATATTTTCTTCTTAATATTAAATGGCTATAATTAGCATTGTCTTTTGTATAGGCGTATGTGGTATGCACCTCAGGCGACGCCGGCACGGTCACTTTAAACTTTCTGAGTTTAGCTCTGTTACAAGCTCTCGCCGCCGTGACACTCTCGATGCTGTTGAGACAGATTAAAAGGTACTATGTTGTGGGTAAGTGATTTCTCTAATGCATTACATTCAATAACAAGCGCAGGGTCGGATTAAAATATTATTTATAATAACATATACAACTGAATGGTTTTAGAACATTTTAGGGTTGAAGACGTGAATCAATATGTAAGATACGTAAATAGATAAGATAAATGCTACAGGTTTAATACAGCAAAAAAATAAAAAAGGAAAAATCAAGTTAATTTATAATTACATGTAGAGATATATAAAAGAATAGAAGAATTATTATTCTTTGATCCGACCCTGTTAATTCAGATTAATCGCGCTTTGGAAACAGGGGAGACCTTGCTTTTTTATGATTTCAGTCGTAGGTTTCGCCTTCCACGCTTGTCTCTTGCTTGTCTTGCTCACTTGGAGACCGACGGGAGACGACCCAGCCCTCTTCCACGTCATATCAGCTGCCTGGGGAGTTTGTAATTCCATTTGGGAGACTTTGATATATAGTAAGTATCTTGAATTTTGATTTTCATCGTACGAATGTCGGACTGTTTTGTACGATATTCGCAAGTTAGGTCGATGGGTCTTAGAAACTTCGGACCCAAGTTGCGATTATGCCAGATCGCATACAAGAGTTTCGGAAGTGATTTCCAAGCTCCGCTTCGTCAGCCGCGGGTGTATCTTGTCAAGAGGCGGCGCCGTTCGCCAGTTGTTCACACACGATGAATTGCGCGTGTGCGTTCAAGCATATCGAGTAAACAAACTGGGACGATTCGTCTTTATATCCGCGAGAAATGGTAAAAGCGTAGAGGGAAAAAGAGAGAGTACCAAAAATAACGCAGTTTAATTTAAAACTCTCTCTCTCTCTTTCTCTCCCTCTCCTTAAAACATAATAAATTAAATATTTACCTGTGCCAGATTATATTGGTAAGCCGAAAGAGACAGAATAAACGCGCAAAAATACCTGTCATGCGAAAACGAGAACTTTCTCAAGACGCGGATGCAAGGCAAGCGTAAAGGGAGACTTGAATCTTTGACATTTCAGCGCTGGTGATGGGCCTCTACCCGAACGCGTGGCAGGGACCGCTGTCGACGTCGCTCTTTTGGCGTTGGCTCGGACTGACCCTCGCGCTCAGCCTCCACGGCGCGGTGTGCACCCGTTATCGCGTCCTGGGCCTCGCCGCGACCCTGGTCCTCGCGGTGGTACCGCATCTCTGGCTGGAGAGCCGTCTAGCGCGCCGCGGAAAAACGCTGGCACCCTTATGACCGGGCGACTCGACGGCGAGCGAACGTGGGTCCACCAGCGTCGAGACGGCGACGGCGACCGACGTCAGACACCGGGGGGACTGAGAACGAGCCGTTCCATCCAGCACCGCGACGAGATCCTGGACGGGGATCGTGTCGGGTAGACGCGGTAGCCACAGAAGCAGCAGCCTGATGACTCAGTTGCAGGAGCATCAAACGAAGCAAGTCGGCGGCAGCGGTGGCGGCGGCAGCATCGGTGGCGGTGGCAGTGGCGGTGGCGGTGTGACGATCAAGACCAAGACGCGACGCAGGGCGAATAGCGTCGCGTTTGCCTGCCGCACCGATTACGGCCTGCCCGACGACAGCGACGATGATCTGCCGAAAAATCCGCTGCTCCTCGTCGCGGAACCGGAACGTCGCAGGAGCGCCATCGACAGCACCGAAGGAGCGAAGGAACGCGACCGCGCCAAGATCTTTACGCTCTCGTAAGGAAAAGGTCTTTTTCCCACGGACGTGAGACTTCGCTTCTGAAGCTTCTATCGTCGGGCCGTGTAATAGCTGTAGTCGACGTGCGGTGTTCTAGTGCTAGTGCGATGCGCTGGATAACGTGTCGAGAAAGAGCTCGGAGAGCTTTCCAACCGTAATCGTCTTTCAACCGATCTCAAAAGATTCAAAGAACAAGAGCCGCTTTTCATCCTCTATACAAGAGAAATTCCTTTTAACTTGGGTCCAAGTTTATGGTCCAAGATTCGAATTAATCGTGAAAACACGTAATTCACACAATCGATACACCGATATCCAGCGCATCTCGTGCGAGCACAGAATATTGCAGCTATTGCAGTGTCCTATTTAATACTCGACTCGGAAAAGAGGGAGGGAGAGAGAGAGAGAGTTGTTAGATGCTTTAAAGCTCTCTCCAGGCGCATTTAAGCTGCGATTAATAAGGATAGCTCTTCAAAAGCTGGATGGAACGGCTGTGTATACGGACATTATATACATACACATGTGTATATATATATATATATACATATATACACGCTTTTTCCCGCTACGGTGCGATCGATGCACATGACTGAATAGCGGGGAAACGACACGCATACATACATATGTATGTACATAAATCTACATATATCGTATTCTAGTATCGAGCATACCGTTTTGTATCACTCGAACGAATCGCCGTTTGACGTAACGAAACGTCAAGATGTACCTGATGTCTTTCAAGCCAAGCTACATAAAATATAAACGGAATCGCTTCGCGCGAGACACCCGATATATAATATATATACCTCCCTATTTATCGTAGATGCTCGTATACGAGCCTTACGGGCGTATCGATTTTTTTGAGTAAACGACTCTTGTCATTTTATATACCGATCGTACTCGAAATAATACGCAAAGTGACGGAGCTGACTCGCGATCGCCAACAAAATCGAGTGCGAATCGGCATCTACAGTGAATCCAAGCGCTGTTAACGATTTAAATATCATGACAATTCAGATAAGATTTTTTATGATAATAATTCATCGACGCTAGTCACGTACGGGAGAATTTCCCTTTCTTAAAGAATAACGAGGGGGCGACTTCCGATATATAATTCTTTGCAAATAAGAAAAGCGAAGGTGTATACTGTAATTTCCGCGCCTCGTCGCGGAATAATCGCTATGTTTGAAATCCGTTTAGGAATTTTTCCCCGATCGTGTGTAATGATGATGATGGTCGTCTCCCGGTTGCAAACGTTAATTGACGTTTGTTTTGTTACGGATCTTAGACTAAGCAAGCGAAACTGTAATCGCATAAAGTTTAAGAAAGATTAATAAGTGTTATCTCGTTTAATGTTACACGTGTAGGCGGATCGAGCGATAAATTAGGACGAGATTGAGGCAACATATCATCGACGTACAACATTGTCTAACGGAAACGGAGCCTGGTTTCCATCTGCCTACTCTCAACAGGGACATACATATATTGTTTGTACAACAAGCCGTACCGTAGAGCATGAGCACTCGGTGAAAACGCGTTAACGGGGATAATTTTTCGCACGTCATAAAAAAAAATAAACAAGTTTTAAAACCTCTTAATATTATTGTGAAAATAATCTGTAAATTTTACTTTCAATGCACATTTCCTGTTATTTCATAACTCGCGTGTTGTTTGCATTTTTATTATTAAATAAAATTTACGCAAACAATAATTATGTTTGAGAGAGAGCTAAGGATGCAATATTTCATTTAATTATATATATATATAAGATTAATAATTGAATCGATTGTAAAATATCATTTAATTATATGCGAAAATATTTCCGGAACAAAAATTGCTTCCGCCAGTGCAATCTTATCCCAATTAACGGTACAGTTTGTTATGCGCCTCATACGTGTTTTCCAATGTTCGAATTAATTACGCTTGAACGAGAATAGGGATCGCAGAACGATGATGAGATAAAAAAATGTGTCGCAGTCTCGTAAAAGAAAAGAAAAACTGCTAGGACACAAAGACGCTCGCAGACTCTTTAATTACTCAGCAATAAACTTGCTCATACACTTCCGGTTCATCGAGGATCGCGGCCGATTGTCCGCGGAATAAAAAGAAAAGAAAAAGGAATGCGAAAAACGTTCAATGTCCTAGTGAAAACACCGAATAAGGAATATATCGTCAGTGGCATTGGGGAAAGGCATATATTATCTGTATATTTCATGAAATAATAAATATTATCTTATTTTATATATCTCTTGTGACCGACGCTTTAATTCAGTTTCATGTGCAATGCACAAAATTGCCATTCCGAAAAAAAGGAACGATTCTGGCCTACCTATAAACATTTCCAAGAAGAAAAGCGAACACTCTCGACTGTTCCTCCAATTGTGGAGAAGCGATACGCATTCTTTTTTATTTTTTTCTTTATATTTAATACTTGGAATTACTTTCATCGTAGAGATCGTTGATATTCATTTGTTTTTGTACTTCAAAATAATATCAACAGTTAATTGCGTGGACCTCGAGATTTGTGGCAGATTTTTCCGATCTTCCTCAAGGGCTCGTTAAGGAATATAACTAATATCGTATAACGATATAATAATCATTAATTAACTAACGACATATGAATTTTCAAGGATTCGTTGGAATTAGAAATCAATTAATAATCACCGCTAATGAACGTCCATTAAATAAAAAGAGAGAATTGCACATAAATAGTCGTCGATGACGAATAAGACGAAGAAAGACAAGATCGGTGAAATCGGCTGCACAATCGCACACAACTCTTAGCGTAAAACTACTAAAAAAACTCGATTGAAAATGATAGTGAAGAATTTCATCGCCACTTGAACGCTCTGGCAGTAAAACACCGATTACTCTTGAGAGCAGAAGTCTCGCGACAATTCTTCGCCGTTTCTGCTAAACGCATTCATCATTATTATCATCAGTATCGCGCTTTACTTTGTTTGAATTTTTGCTAAGCATGACATAAATGCAAGTAACAGGACTCACGTATCTTTTATATATGTTTATATATGTGTGTATATATGTATATATATATATATACATATTTCATAACTCGCGTGTTGTTTGCATTTTTATTATTAAATAAAATTTACGCAAACAATAATTATGTTTGAGAGAGAGCTAAGGATGCAATATTTCATTTAATTATATATATATATAAGACGTTTATATATGTGTCTATATATGTATATATATATACATATACATATATACATACACACACACACACACACACACGTCAACATTGTCTACCTAAATTATTGTCAATATATCTTACGTCTTACATCGCGATCACATGTAGAAGTTCGCGTTTGTGAGAGCACGATAGGGTACGAGTTAGCCGGCCCTAAAGAAGGCCTTAGAGCTCAACGGATTTTATCAATATATAACGTCTAGAACTACACACGCACACACGCACGCATACACACACTTATATGCATGCACGCATATCAATACACCACATAGACACATGGAGATACTAGCTATTAGCCCGTGTATAACTTGTAACAATGCCTCTTTATTTATTTTTTTTCATCATTCATGTTTCTTTTTTTTTTCTTTTCTAATATTTGCATGTAACACATGATTTGCAGAAGGATTTTTTAGACCCGCTTTGTAACTCTTGTTTTTGCTCTTCTTCAATCAACATCGCGCACGCAGTGCGTCTCTACGAAGCGAGTAAAGACCCTACACAATATACTTCGTTTGAATTATTATAATCATATATAAATGTAGGCTACATATACAACATTCTGAACATAAACGCTTTCGCTTCTAACATAGATAGCAAAAAGAACAAAATAAGAGATCATAAATCCATATTCGCGTACAAATCGCTCGACAAACGAAATAATGCGTTGAGTATCATGACAATCCACGTGAGTGCGATATAATTAAGAAAAATAATAATAAAATAGTACTCATCGAATACATTATCGAGTCATCTATCGCGAGCATCAGAGAAATACTGGCCTGAGAACATCAAAATGCGCTATGCAACCCCCGTGGAAATGTTCGTACAATCTTATAGGCTAAAGTATTGTAACTGATGTTGATGTTACGTGTGATCGTTATTTCCGGAGTCGCGAATTACAGCCTTGTATCAATTAGAGATTAGAGTAATACTAAATTTTATATCTATATCTCTGATCGGACGATTTTCCTTTCCATTGATCATTGCCTAATCTCGCAATAAATTTTTTTTTCAGAATATAAATTCTCTTGTAACGGATAAAAAGGATTCGTTAGTACTTAAAAATTTTATTCAAATCACGGCAAAAATTCATTATTTCTGAATTATAAATCGATCTTCCCTTAACTTTTTCCTTGGAAAAAAAATGAGGATCACGAAGTAGAGTCATACATATTTTATCGATATTACTGCGATTACTTGTAATGTTCTTCAACAGCGCCGTACGCTTTTTTTACGGATTTATTTAATAACGCGAGAAAGCAATTTTAGGCTGAAGCAAAGTGGGACTAATATTTTGTATACGTATGTGTGTGACTTATCTACAATTATTAACGTATCACAAAAAAATACTTTGCTCACAGATTTCCCTGACTTTCGTTATCGCCATGTCAGCACAAGATTACTTTCGTACGACAAGCGTGTATTAAACACGCATGTTAAAAACAACACTCTTTTTCTCTTCTGCTTCGTATTACCAAAAGCATTTGGAAAGAGATACCTCTGAATCTCATTACATTTTCATCCGGTTATTTTGTAGCATTTCTAAGAACCATCTTTTCGTAATACGTATGTTATTTATTTTTTTCCCAATCGGTCTTCCATTGTCGCATACACCGCATACTAAAAGATTCGTCGGTAATGTTACATCTTAATGGAAATGCATGCGATGCAGCCACTATCCGTTCCTTCCTGGTAACTATATGCATCTCGATTATCCTACATACGTTCACCGTAAGCAATAATCGTCGAGATGGTAATAAATCGCAGGTGTTGTCATTCAAATACTCATGAGCGATGTCCTTTGTTTCTTTTTTCCATCTTTTTTACTCTGTTACAGATACTATGGACGATAAGACAATATTACGTAAACACGATCATAAATAATTGATGCGCGCGTGTATTATATACATATGGAAAATATTCGACGAGATTCTCAAAGAAATTGTAGAACTTGAAACGAATGTGCTAAAAAACCAGAGCCTATTTTCTCCCGACGGTCGATGTTTCGCATCGAACAAGCTGCCGATCCAATCGATTCTTTAATATTGCATAGAGAAAATATCACGAGCTACGTGTTAAAGTAACTATCGTTAATTTTCAATACTTTAAGCGTAAAAAACCAATTAAGTTTCGATTCTCTTTATCCGATTTTTGTGAAAACGCATTCTCTGACGAAACTAATTGTAGCACAATCATTTTCTTTGACTATAACGAGTAAAACGAACAACGAATACTATAGTTATAATACTATAGTTTTACCAGCAGCATTGAGCACCGATGCATTCGAAAATATAACACCAAGGCAATTTTTGTGTAATGGATAACACTGGGCGTATAACCGTAAGTTTTCACACACTCGCGTTCGCGCGTGTGCACGCATGCCGCTCTTTCCTTCGAATACCACAGCAACAGGTTCGTCAAGTTACTTTAATCAGTTACTTCAGTCCGAATATTCTGCCCATATCTTTTGGGAGAGTTCTCAATAATTTACAATCACTACTTAAATTTGATACTTAAAATCCTGTCTCTGTGCAACTAAACAGATCAACTGCTCAAACTGGAGTATAATTGCCCTTGGGTTTGTAAAAGATCTTGCCGCGCACTATACGTCTTGTGATTTCATTTAGTAGCAAGCGTTTCTCCTTCCTAATCTTCTTCAGTATACCCCGGTTCTCTTGCGCGCGCCGCGACAAATATGGCAACACTTCCTTAACTGGTCCGTACGGGATGTACTTGTACGCAGAGTAACCGGATTGACCTGGAAATTTTATTCAAATCATGCATATCGTTTTATATTTTATCTTTTATCGCGCAATAAGAAATGCAAGAAAAAGACTTAAGTTTCAAATATTTCTATGTACCTAATGGAAATGTTATGTAATCGCACATTCCTAATAATTGACCGAAACATATAACCTTATCCTCCGGTGAAATTCCGATTTCTTTCATTCTAAAACCATAAAAAGATTATTTTATTTATGTCTATTCGCAGCAAAAGCAAGGATGAAACAAAGTCGCGGCGGCACTCACTTCTCGATCGCGAAACGTACAGTATCCTCGTTATGCGAGGCGACCATAATTCCTATTTTCTTAGGATCGACTCCTTTGTCCTTATACTGTTTCATCCGCCTCAAGCACTCCATGAGCGTCCTATGATAGGATTCTGTCGTCGCCTCATATGTGGGATTCGTGGGATCTGGATAACCCATAGCTGCCGCTCTCGCCCTTTCCTAAATAAGAATTCTTTGATACTTCACCTTTAACAGACTTTACTCGAAAAATATGAGAAATGTCTGCCAACCTGTTCAATATACGCGCCGCGTACAAGTTTAGCACCAAAATAAAAATTTTGACGTTCCGATTGTTCGAGGTCCGTTTTCACCTCGTTATATGCCTCTTGCAGATACGTCTGGTAAGTATTGAATACCACAGCCTGAGAAGTAGACCGATATTTGGCAGTGAGAATATCATTCACTGAAAAGTAGCTAAGTGATAACGTCGCGATCCCCTGAGAACGTTAAAACGTTACCTTTTTCGTATTGTACTTGCGCATCATCTCCAGCGTCAGGCGAGAAATGGCCGGTTGGAAATACGTCTGTTCTGCATCTATCATAATACGAACGTCTAGACTATCAGCCACCTGAAAAATAATTATTTATTTAGTCATGAAACTCTCGTTGTCAATAAAAAAAGGGGAAAAATTATTACGCATACCGTGACGATATTATTTAATCGTCTAATCATATTCCTAAACATTTCTTCCTCTTTAGTCGTAAGCTGTGTCATTAATCTGACCATTTTGCCCGTTTTAATATCAGGTACTTGGAAAGTTTCGCTTAGTTCATAATTTTCGTCTAAAATACCGCTCCACGGGAAGAGATGAATCACACTGTGTGGACAAAAATATCCATTGCTTGCGATACTTCTTTCGTATAAACGTTAAAACATCACTTCAATTTTTGATTTTAATTTTGCGCGTACCCTTCTTTATCCGATTGCATTTTCTGAAGGAACTTTTGCACCGATTCCTCGTCTTTGATGTGTGCTTCCTCGAATTTTTTCCTAAAATCATCAGGTTTCACATGGTGGGCCAGAATGGCACCCTCGCCACCAATAACGTCGGACATGTACTGCCGTGCGCGCATGATTACCTCTGACAATTGAAGCTAAAATATAATTATTCTATCAGTCATAGATTTACAGTTAAGTGAAACTTTTTAGAGTTTCTAATAAAAATATAATTGCCAACCAAAAGCTGCGGCCGGCCAAGCGCGGTTAATTTGACGGCTGTGATGCCCATGCCCATCGAAGCACCTGTAAAAATATATTTAGTGTTACATCGTGTTATCTTATAATATTAAATTGGATTAATTATTTTCCTATTAAAAAAGAAACGTGCAATAAGACATGATTGATAATTCTGGATCTGGATAATTAAGGCTAATATAAAATGGAAAAAAATTATTTCAAGGAAAGAGGAAAAGGAGTGTCTTCTTACCAGGATGGGGATCGACTTGGTCATGAGTGGTAATATTCTGAGAAGGATATTTCAGTTGCAAAGTCTTCACTTCATCCTCTGTACAAAAATATATATAGTTCTTTATCCGCTCACGCCTAATAGTACATTGATTTTTTTATTTCTTAAGATACTAATTAATTTGTGGCAGTTTTGTATAGATGAAATATTTTCGTGACATGTTATGTCATATAATTTGGCTGGAAAGTGCAAACGGTAATCCACACGAGTGCTGATATTTATAGCCTAGACTAGAAGGGAACTATACGTTTCTGACTCGCGGAATTTCGAAAGATCCATTGCCGTCGAGACGTTGGTCACGGCAAAAGCCTGTGACGTTTTCCCTTTTTCCCGTATTGACAATATCTCTACAATGTTTTGTAGATACAGTAAAACATAAAATTATCGTTGAAAAGGAGTGCGCATCTCGTATGAACAGGAAAGGAAGATTCTCGAAGAACGGCGATCGATTATGTGCATGACGTCAGCCATCACATTTTCGCTTAATTATCCTTCCCAGAAGTAATTTCATCTCTCATATCAAATTTTATTAACAAACAGATATAAAAGGTTCTGTTATATAAAATACATAAATATAAAACAGCGAGCCAGTAAATCGAAACACATTCATTAAATAATTAATAAATTTTTTTAATACAATTATTTCTACGCCTTGTTTTCTACATTCGGTTTTTTTATATTTGTAAATTTTATTCATTTTTTTTTACTAATTTCTTGTTAAATAACTTCATGTATTATATTCTGATTTAATTTATTTAATTTAACTTGTTTAATTTTATTTATTCAATTTAATAAAATTTTATTTGAGTTTTTACTAGTATTTATTTATGTAGTCATAAGCAACATGTGAAAAACGATGAATTTCACGGTATATGAATTCTAACTAATCAGCAACGGTAATCGCGCTCGTGAAATACTAATCACGTGAAGATCAAATTCTACAATAATATTATAGCAATGCGGTAATTTTGTCAGATTGTAAATCAGAGTATCGACTTTCATAGATAGCGACAATATGCCTCCAATCTGCATTATTCGAAGCAACTCCGATATTACGATGTTTCGTGCGAATTTAATCTTTGACTGTGCCTGCCATCTATTTACGTAATAAATTGCAAAGTAGATTGAAAAAAAATAAAAAGTGAAGATATATATTTTACATATACCAAAATATTACAAAACATACGCCATTTATTTCTTCTTATACTATATATATATATTTAATAAACTGCAATTAAAAGATCCCAAATTAAAAAAAGAAATATCTTCTCGGAATATGAAAATTTTGCCTAAAATAATAATATTAAATTAATTTACACAAATAGTTTCTTGAGATTAAGCTAACAATAAGATAAACGAATGTTAGATTTTATATGCAATGTTGGCTCAACTATCGAGATTAATTTAAAATGCAAGAAAACGCATAAAAAATATTCAACCTATATATTTATATTATAAAATGTTGAATATTTCAAAGCGATAACAAATTAATTGTCACACAGTATTGGGCTATCATTTTTCTCGGCATATTATTGTTAAGACTCACGGTCGTCTTGTTGTCATTCGAGCGGTGCGACCGAGAAAATAGTAGCGCGAGACGTACCGTATAGAATTCCTTTTCGAAACGCGATCGCGATAAGCCTCGGGAAATAATTTGCTATAATTATTATAATTAATTAATTTTCGGTAAACAACCCGCAACTATATTGTGATAATAATCTTTATCACAGTTTATATTTCTCGCGATTTATTTAATTATTTTTTCAAATACAAATCAAAGCGACAAAGATAAAAATTATAAATTATTATGACAATTATTGCAATCTTTATGGACAATAATTATTTCTCTAACAATGCTTGGAACTAAATATATTTCGACATTTTAAATTTTTCGCCGATTTTAATTTATTTTGTGAATTTAATTTGTTAATATATAATATATATATAATCTTTTTTCAATTTTAATTTTTCGTTTTAACTTGTACATCTATTTACTTATATTAAAATGCAATAAAGGCATAATCTCCCAATTATAAAATGAGTTACAAAAATTATATATATATATATATAATATTAAAAATTATATAAATATACCTTCCCAACGGGTACACTTTGACATTGATGGAAGGGCTTAGTACATGAAAGGTTAATCCTGAAGGAGAAGCTAAATACCCAAACTTGTCACGAGTCGCAAATAATTCATGTGTATTTAGCGCATATTAATGTTTAAGTGCGTATAAAGTTTTCAGTGCGTCCCATATAATTAGTCGCGTCTTCGCGTGATATTTCAATTTTGCTTGTTGTTACCGAATACACACACACACACATATGTATGTATGTGTATATCTTCATTTTTTATATTTTAATTAGCGAAAAAATATTGTCTGTATATTATATAAATTTAAGTTTAAAAAAATTCTACTTATAATTTAAAATCTTAAAAAGCTATACATATATATTTAATTGAGAGTTTAGAAAAGAACTAAATTACAAACATTCGAGCGAAAAATAAGCTCTGTAAGCTGATTGTTAAAGAATACCCTATATCCCTAGTTCATATCAAAGCCAAAAGCAAAGGATAGAATGTCAGTCAGGGATTAAAAAGAAATAAAATGTTAGAGAGAGAGAGAGCTAAAAATAAAATCCGTGACTCACTCGCCACAGCCTCCAGACACCTGATAAATATGTCCATGTTTCGCTCACAGGACGCTTCATTCAGGTAGAAATACGTCCTAGCCGATGACACTTTGTACCGCCGATCGGCGAATGACTTCTCCACGTGATACTTTTTCAGCGGGCCTTCCCTCTTTACGTCACCCGCTTCTGATACTGAGGCTCTGAAATAAAAGAATATCGAATATTCGGCGTTTGTTTGGATTATAATCGCCGCATCTCTGTTCGATTTGCATTAATCTTCTTTTCTTGATTTTCTACTCATCGAATTATTTCTTCAAATTACGATTATTTTCGATCGCGTATACTCGAAAAAAAAGTACGATTTCTTTTTTACAGACAGAAAAAAAGATAAGCGAACGTAAATAAAGAACTGTGTCTGATGCTAGTACTACATCTGTTGAAAGGTACTGTAAAGCAATACGCGGGATTAAATTTCATACTTGGCGAAGGGATTCGTAGAATTACGCTTCTTTCGCAAGAACATCAAAAGAGTAGAAAAATCAAAAGATCAACGTGCGATATGACGTTTACATCATATGTAATTGTTACGAAAACGAAAATATAATGGGATGAATACTTACTGAATTTCGCGCCGCTCGGCCTCCTCCTGCGAGATATCTTCTTCGACGGAATAATCAAGAATCGGTTTTACGCCAAATTGCCGCAATCTCTCCAAAACTGGTGTGATCTGCACTTCATCTTCCCCGGCGACGAAATGACCATAAAACGTTGCCTTCATAAGCTTTGTGAATAGCTTTTCGCCTAACATCATTTTTGTCAATTTCATGACCTGTGTGTTCGTATTTAAATTTCAAGCGATTAGATATACAGTAGCGTATTGTCGAATCAACAATATATCGAACAATATAAATCTTTGCAATCAAAATAGTAAATCTTATGTTAAAGACTGCGAAATTAATGCGTACAAAGTAAATTTTTACTAAAAAATTATGAGTGCAAATTTTTATAGAAAATTTAATTTAATCGTGAGATAAGTAACAATGTATATTTGATATAGATACGTATAAAAAGTTGCTTTGTGTTTCTTCAATAAATTTATTTTGAAAATCAAACGAAGAATAATAAATCAGGATAGGAACAGCCAGGAGCAGTTAGATCGCTAATTCTTTTCTTTCCGTTCCATCTCACGGTATATGTATAATTTATGTATTCTATCCAAATGTATACTATTCAAAAGAAACCACAGTCGCGAGACGCGAGCGTAACACAATGCAAGTACGAAGAAAAATGTATAAAAATAGCTGCTAATTTTTCGCTTCTAGAGTTCAACTCGCAGCGAATGTTATGTAACTCGAAGAGACGAAAACATTATTATAAAATAGGTAATACTCCCTCGCAATAAAAATGTAGGTTACATCGCGGCTAACAATCACGTGAATGCTTGGCGAATATCGATCTCTCAAGAAAACGCTTACTCTCGTTATGTGAATATCGATCTCTTAAGAAGACGCATGCTCCCAGTATGCGCCATTATAATCCCGCCTGCCATTAAATGTCACAGTCGGTGCCAAGAAATTTAAGAGAAATATAAAATGTAAAATATAATAGAAAATCGTTCTTTCGGTAGCATTACAACCAATTTAAAAATAATAAGTAAAAAATATAAAATTTTTATAATTTTATGCAGTTCTTAAAATTTTATTGCTCTCTCTTATAATATAATCTCTATTAATATAAAGACAACATAAACGCGATATATGCGCACGCAGAAACGAATATAAATACGTCATATTTGGATACATATTCACAAAGATTGAAACTCTCGATGTTAATTGATCGTTAACATTGACGTCCTAATACAATAATCTATCATGATTTATACTTTGTGATTCGCAACGTATCGATTTTGCAATCGTGTTTGTAGAACCGCACGTCAATCAAATACATTTTATTAAGAGTAATAGATATGGAAATCAAACGCCCCATTTTGTTGAGATATCGAGTTTCTCTTCAATGTTCTATAAAAACTCTCTCTATTTTCTGTTTATTACTAGAATATTATTTTACATACACACACATATATATGTGTCATCTATTTCATTTTATATAAAAAACAGAGCAAAGAGATATACGATCATTGATTGCTTCTGAAAACTTGGGTCATGCAAAATGATTACACTAAGCCAGGAAGCAATTAATTCGAATGAAGGAATTTTTAGATAAAAATAATAGTATTTGTGATATGAATCGTCGAGACACATATTATGATTCACTGAATCTGATGACGGATAAGCAGCGAGATATTAACGGATATGTAATGAAATACGTGAGCTTAAGCAAGAGGAAGAAGCGTGATCAGTGAGGTTATTAAAATAGACCCGATCTGCTTGCGATGACACACGGGAAGGTTGTTAATTGCAATAGCTCCCCTTATCGATCGGATTTCGTCAGATGAAATCGTAGAAGTAAAATTGGAATGCAGCCGAAAGGCAACGAAAACATTTTACAAGCGACGAAGCGAGCGTGGAAGTCGATTTTAATTTTATCATCATTTATAAGATTTCACTATCGTCCCGGAAAATTTTTCCGATATAACATACAACTACAAGACATTTTTGTAATAGCGCGATTAAGATTGTAAAATTTATATTCTCATTGCATGTATTTTTCATAATAATTTGTAGTAAAAATAATCGACAGCTAATAAAAATTTAGTCGCTTATTAGATATAATATAAAATACTGCATACAATCATGATTGTATAGTGATAGTAATTAATAAGATAGTTTGTATGAAACAATAATACAAAGCAAATTTAAAATGTTGATTCTTAAGTGTTAAACAAACAGATGGATAAAACTGATTTGTATTATATAGATGATGTGGTTGACAGTATATACTTAAACTCGTCACTTAAGTCATTGTTATGTTTGTCAAACTCGAGAGGCTGCCGGAGCTTACCAAAGTTTGCCAACGTTATATATACCTATTGATAAGCCTAAACAGTGCGTATACGTATAAATCGCTCCATGAACTCCCTTTTCAGTACGATGCCGTACGATGAATGTTTTACTGACGAGATTATAATATGATATTAAAATAAATATAACATTAAATTAAAAATTTGATTTAAAAAATGTTATGCTTATATTCTAAATATTTAAGAACAATTAGAATTCTAATAATATCGATCAAGGATAATATCATCAAATTCTCATAAATTTAAGAGAAATACAAATAATGTTGACTTTGTCATCGACAGTGTTATGCAGTTGTTCGAAATTAATTGAAATCGTTGCCGCGTGCCAAAATCATTGGACTATGAACCAACATCGTATACATATAACTCAGCATAAACATAATTCAAAGATGATGTTGTATAACTACAATTGTGATAAATCATTTAAGAGAGAGAAATCTGCCTAGATTAAAATAAAACATTATTCTCTATCTCCCTGTGTAAATTAAATTACTATTTTTTTCTATTTATCTGAGATATTTTTTTATATATTTTACTGCAAATAATATATATATATTTTATTGAAGTTTGACAGTGAGAAATGCATTTCTTGGCAATCCTATAGGTTGTTGAACTGCATTGTCTACGTCTTATTTAAGTCTCAGATCGATGGTGTAACTAGAGAAATGCGATAGTATGCTATGCACGATACGCTGCTTGCGATTTGAGCTGTGTGTGACAATTGATCTAGAAAAATTCCCGGCCGACGAACACACATGCATTATTCGGCATTTTTAATAACATTCGCTTGTCATAAATAATTAAGGATTTATTCTGAGATACCAATTATCGATTGAGGCTAAGAACTCAGTTTTTCCATACTTCAAATTCGTCGAGTCATTTGACATTGACAAAGAGATCGATATTACGGACCATTCTGTATAATGAGATATACATGCATTGTTGTGTGTGCACCTGTAAATAAACACGGGAAAAACCTACAACAGATAAGAGACGGCGCGAAGTACTTGAAATATTATGACGCCGACAACGACGGCTCGATTCAGAAAAGCTTATCATTATGGACATCGACGCGTCTATTTTTGGATCCTCGTTAACGGTTTTAACTTTGGCATCTATTCTGTCGATTGACTATATAATGTCCCATTGACACGCACTATCTATTGAAAAAAACATTAATCGTGGATTACCAAATACACCATCAGATCCAATTAAAATCAAATTTTATTAAATTTTATCAAGTGAAATTTATTCGAATCAATTTTAATTTAATTAAGCTATTTTTTATATTTGAAATAAAAACGCTCGGGGGGAGGGGGAGGGGGAGTATATCTCTTTTCTCACGAGACACAAGGATTAGATGTATTCTAAAAACAATATCGTCAAAGATGGTTCTTCGTCACTATTGCAATATACAGGAATACAAAGAATAACGAGAAAAAAGATTTTAAAAAATTATTGTGTAATCTATTAAGTAATAACACAAAAAAAAAATCCAAGCTTTATATTAATTACTATGATAATATTATAAAAAACTCGCGGAAATATTCGCAGCATACAGAGCTAGAAACGATCTGTTTTATTTGGAGATTCGAAACCGGTTTTAATTCTGCAAACTTGTATCTTCAAACTTTTTTAAACAGACGTTTCAATTTAACTTTGGAACATAAGTATTATCCCATTCCTTTCCACCCTTCGTTTCTTACGTTCCATTTTCTTTATCGCTCGCTAATAGCGTGTGCACGTGTTATTTTTAATGCATTATATATATTTAGAAGTAATTTAAAAAGAAATAGATAAATGACGTTACAACAGATCTGAGAGATCTGACACTGTTATTTAAGCGATCGATTCGATAGTATTGAACCGGCGACCTATCGAAAACTATCCGTCTATCCGTTCGTTTGTCCCTGGCACGGGACGTGCAAGAAGGCGCCAGACGAACTGGATAGCCTTGAAACTACTTGTCACCAACCGATCGACGGATCAGTCTCTCGTACGCGCATATAGGACACCCCATATCATTGACACTACTTATATACAATTACTAATCTCGAAGTGTGTTATGTCACATCAGCCGGAAGACTCACGTGTGCGCATCGGGACTGACCGAAATCCGAGCGTATTAAGAGTATACAGAAATTTCTAGAACGCGTACTCGGCCACGAAAGAGACCAAAGGAAAAAATGTTTGCCCAACTGCCGCACGAGACAGATGAGTTAAAACATAATGCGAAGGTGTGATACAATATCAACCTTGAAAACATCTGGCACAACTATGTTTCGTAAATAGATTCACACGAATTGCAGAATTAACATTGTACCACGTCGAGAAGTTGAAGAAAATTTATCGATTTGAAGATGATATTTAAGAGAGTTGGAGTTTTGCCCGATTTCGTGATAAATGATTCGAACAAGGATTCGACGATGCGCCTCGCGAGATTTAATATTGTTGAATAATGACCACAAGCTGAACATCTGAAGGCAGGATCAATGAAAGAAGAAAACGGAGAGTATCTAGTAAACATGCTGAAAGAGTGATTCTTGATGATGGGATGACTAATCAATGCGCGAGAAAAGTCTCGTGAAAAGCAGACGCGGCGACGCCTGCGACTGAATCTCGCGATGCATTGCGCAATTGCATTGCATAACGAGATATAAACGCGAACGTATAATAATTCGCGCGAGATGCAAATATCACACGGAACGACCCGATTGATTCGCGATGCGCATAGCGATGTACAAAGATTCGATTTTGTACACAGCGCGTATTTCTTTCTGTATTTTTTATAAAATACAGATACAAATGCACGAGAGGACAATAAAACAATTACACGAAGAAAAGAAGAAGACGGGAATAATTCTCGATCTTCGATCGCAACACTAACTCGAGCAATTGAATGCAATAACAGCAATAAAATTCCAAACTTTAATATAAATTTATTCAATGGAACTACAATCACAAATGTTACATTAAATTACAGATAAATTTCACTCTCAACTAATATGTTAAAAAATCGCATATACCTTATTCTTTTTTTTTTTTTTTTACATTATTCCATCCAATTACGATTTGAGTCGAACGTATGAGCTATTTTTATAAGAAATGCACAGAGATGTATCGTGCACAAAGTGCCGCCTAGTCTGGCACGAAAGAAAGCGAGGAAGTCAATATCTCTCAGATCCTCAGGATCGCGTTGGTGTTGCCAAGCACACAGACATAATGGTGCACAACTATGCACCATGCCCCGTCTATCCTCGTGCAGTTTTCGCTCGTGACTATTCACGGTCGGCCACGATCACGCGAATCTTTCTACATTTTCACACACGGCTTCGGAATTAATGGAATGCCCGAAAAAACATGCCCTTTTTCCAATCATTCGGATTCCCCGATCCGAGATCTCTTATAAAATCGAAAAGTTTTCAATTAAAAAATATTGAACACTTTTAAAAAATAATTAAAGATTTGAAAAAAAAAAACTCGTTTCTGAATCATTTTTATTCTTTTATCATAGATATTAACTTTTTAATGTAGACGAAGTTAGAATGCACGCAATGTTCATGGCGATAAGACTATCGCAATAAAATTCGTAAAATGTGATCATGGTAATTGACGTAATTCAGCGACTGTCGCGGGAAATCGAAACATTTTTTCGTGTCGTTTTTATTTCATTTTATTTGCAGCTTTCTTGTCCAAAAATAGGCTCGGCTTGGCCTGTAAAACCTCGGTTTAACATCGTTCGTCTGCACTGAGAATTATTATGTCACGCGGTGACGAAGAACCGACATTGAACGGATACGATCGATACGGAAGTATACGAGAGACAAAGAAGAATTATAAGTTCGTTATGTCGAATCGCGGTTTTCGAAAAAGAGAGAGAGAAATATTCTCCGTCCGATGTTACCGTAAACGTTTTGCAATTAGCGTCCTGCCGTGAGTTATGTCCGGTTATGTCTCGTCGTCAAACAACCAAAACATTAATCAAACGGTGCAACATTTACATCCGGCGGGATGATTTATCGAATGATTGCATATGTTAGTTCCGCAACGAGTAATGCGGTCGATGGAATGTGTACGTAACGAATTTGACGTTACGTAAAGTTCGACAAGTAGATCGATATAGCGACTTTGTTGTGTACAATAGTAAGATGGATCTTAAAATGCGACATCTGCATTGTCTATATTCTAAAGGTCACTTAGAGAAGAGCAGAGAATTTATAATGTAAAGTAAATGTAAAGACGACTTTGTCTCTCTTTGCCACGATTTAGAAGAAAAGCATGATCGCGTTACATTCAATACAATCTCATAATCTTTGTATTTTGCAACTTATTTTGAACTGAAAAAATAAGTATATTATTTGTATAACATTCTTTTAAAAAACAAGCGATTTATATATGGTCAATTATCTTTTCGCAGTTGTGTACACTGATAAGCCTAATTATGGTAAATCCTTGAATGTGTAGCATTTGCCATTTGTGTAAAACTCTTACAGAGATACATTTGTATAAATTAAAAATGCTTTTTTAAAATTCCTTATGTTAGTCTTTGTATACGTCGTGGCGTCGAAACGTTGGTAAAAAATTCAATAAAATTGTTTTTATTTGTTATATTGCATAATTTATAAATTTACATACTTTTTACATATCCTTACATATCTTTTAATTTACATAAATTTACATACTATTTAAAGTAAATGATATTTATCGTTTGCAGACTCTTGTGAAGCATTTATATAAATTAGAAACATTTACTTGAAACCTTAGATAATTACTTCACACAAATGTGACTGAAATACTTCAACAAATCATTGTCATTTTTATGTTGCATGATTGATAAATCTACAATCACATTGACAGACATGTATCTTTTATTTATAGGTTTGTCAATTATGCAACATAAAAATGATTTGTTGAAGTATTTCAGTCACATTTGTGTGAAGTAATTATTTAAGGTTTCAATAGTAAATGTTTCTGATTCATATAAATGCTTTAAAAAAAGACATATCGTAGCGTTTCAGTCATAATCAAAGAAACAAATGATTTTTCATTATTTTCGTTCATTTAATTGCAGGAAATATTAATTCGTGTTTTATTAATAGTAAATAATTAAAAAACGCGCAATATTTCTAAATCAATTAAGTCAATAATAATTTAAAGTACGCGAAATGTGAATAGCAATGTATAACATATAGAAGCTACAATATTAACATAACAGACTATACATATATATACAATATAATAGCGTTTTTGAGTGAAGCAAATCTGATCGCTCTGACAGCGATTAATGACATCATAAACCGTCTTGGGTTACTTGGGATATACTTATTTATATTAATCAAATGCAAAACTCATTTTCGGTCGAACATATGTTCATAAAAAATTAGATTTAATCGCTCTCAGAGCAATCAAATCTTGCTTCATTCGAAAACACTATATATGTGTATATATTCACGACGTCGGCTATTTTCTTAATGACCGATTAAGGAAACACAATTGAATTCCGTGTACTAAAGCGTATTACACATCTATCTTAAACGGGTTATGCAATTCGCCGACGATGGTTTGCGGCAAAATTCCTACGTCGATCCGGCAATAGTGAAATCAATAACGCGTCGTATCACGTCATCGTCCGAGCCACCTTAATGCAAATCGCGCGTGGAATGTTACGTAAGTTCCGAAACGATCGAAATTTATAAATAGCGAATTAAAAAAATCTGTTGGGGTTTTTTTCTTTCTTTTTTTTTTTTTTTAAGGAACTTCCCGTTATCAATCCAAGATCATAATTATATCACCCGATCGCGATAAACGATATGGATGATTTATATTGATAGCAGCCGAATTACATTCTCGAAAGCGCGATAAAACGTTAATGGGATGCGTAAGCGCTTTCTTGGAAGGCTAATCGACCCTACCATAAACGAAACACGATCTAGAATCCACCATAGAACATGGTCAGCAATTTTTACGAAGTTTGAAACATCAAATTTGTTTCAGTATCGAAACTAAAAATCTGATTCGATCTCTCTTTCTTAGATTATATATGATTTTTTTTCTGAAAATAAAATGCGTAATGCAGCAAAGAAAAACCACGTTAATGCTAATTCATCATTCGATGACTCCCGATTATTTATCTCATCAAGATACGTCATATATAGAGCTATTAACTCTAGTCGAGCTGAGTGATTAACATATCAAATTAATGATCGATAATGATGACAGATTATATATATAAAACAATTCACAGTTTGCTGAATATACAGGATATGCATTTGCGATAAATATTATACATACGGATCTCTAAGAAGAAAAACCGTCTGTCAATTACTATCAATTACCGAAAGAGTCGATTATATCACATTCATATCGTATTCTATTGCACGTGAGAATTGCAAATAAAACATCTCGCTTATTAAATTCGGTTCGACTAATCACGAAAAATATTCTTTCTAGATTAGAAAGAGTCCCATGCTATCTATAATGTACGAATAAAGACGGAAATTCTGATTGTACTGCAGTCTCAAACTTAAAGAAAAATAGAGAGATTTTAATTTACGAAATTAATTTAATGCCGCTCGACTTCGAAAGCGTACGCGCGGAGTAAGGGTTACTTCGACCAAACTCCGATTAATTTAATCGTTGATTAACTTACAGGTGACCGACATAAAAATTTCTAATAATGTAACTCTCGCATAGAATATAATACAAATTTTAAAATTCTGCTTTTGGTCGCCCTGTAAGTTAAACAACCGGAGTTTGGTCGAAGTGGCCCTTTTGATCAGGGCAAACTGCAGAATATAGACACGTGAAGACTCACCTTCATATTATTCTCCACAATATATTCGATAGAGCACATCTGATAGACGATATAGGCACGCATCAGCTCCTTGGTGGTCTTGCTCTTGAACGCGGCGATCGGGTCGTTAAACTTCAAATCGAGTGGGTCGATCTGCCGAGGCGATGCCGGCTGCTGCTTCTTGACGTCAGTGGCAGCGTCGGCGGCGGAGGTCGCGTAGCCGCGCGTGTCGTCGCGCACCTGTGTAACCAGCCGCAACGACGGTGTCCTCGTCACCATCGCCGCCGACGCCGCCGCGTTCTCCAGGAGGCCGACCACGGGCAACGGCGGCACGCCGCACTTGCTCAGCTTCTTTCCGGCGCAACATCGTCGCGAAACGCTCCTCAGAAACGCCATCGTTTCGGCGAGAGTGCGAAGGAGGAGGTAGAGGAGGAGGAGGAGGAATGAGAAAAGGGAAGAGTGCGAGGAAAGGAAGAGAAAAGCGAATTAGCGAACGCGAGAGAGACCGTCGACGGCGCGGTTTCCGCGCTACCGGAACGGGATATCGCGCTTGCGACTGTCTTCTCACCGAGGCTGCTTCGGCTCTCCTTCAGATTGACGGACGAAGACGAGCAATGAGAAAGAGAGGATGGCAGGATTAGGAAAGAGAATGATCGGCGACGATAAATCGAACCTACCGCGATCGAATCGGAGATCCTCAAATATGACAGAGGCAGACGAGATTCTCGTACGAAGCGGTGCCGCCGCTGCTACTGGTGTACCGCTGGCTGGTTCTCTCCTTGTGGCTGCACAACGTGCGCGTGTCCAACGAAACTCACGTACACGAGTCGCGACGCGGCGCGACTGACCGGTGACGATGACGGAGCGGAAGCGGTTGCGCGTCGTCGTCCTCGTTCGTCGTGACGCCGAAAAGTACGAGGATCGACGTCAGAGAGAGAGAGAGACACGCGCGCGCGAATATAATAGTATACGGCAATGGCGACCGTTCGCTTGTGCTCTCTCTCTCTTCCTCGCAACGCGACGGAAATATTGATTTTCGTTCGCCGGGGACACCAATCCGACAACGTACGTACCGTGGGCGCCGGGTCCGCGGATGGCTTAAATATAACGCGCCGTGTCCCGACCGGAGCTCGCCTACGCGCCTCGTTCCCCGATTAGCGTGCCCGCCGCCGCGATCCCGCTACGCCGATTGGCCCGTCGACGGAGGTGTGCGGTGTGCGGCTGCTGTTCGCATTGGTTCGCGAGCCGATAGATGCGCGGCGCGCGCATCGAGTCGCTCGGCGTTATCTGTCAAGATTGACATTTCGAGGATAATACGATTAATATATAATAATTTATTTCGCACGCGCGATTTACTAATTTTTAATATTTACAAATATTTTTCTCTCTTCTCTGAAATAGAAAATATAAAATACACACTGATAAAAATCAATTCTACAATATTATGCATTTATAATCTCTAGCATAATTATTCTCTAGATGAGGTACCTTTTGAACTGAAAAGATCTACGTTATCGATATAGAGTTCTTTATGGAAATAGATCAAAAATTCCAAAAAATGAGTATGAATATAGATGGCACTTTGTATACAGAGTAATTAGATCCGAATCTGTCTATTCTTATTATGTCTGTGGTTTAACCAAAAATTGGCCTATTGTCACATAGCCCTAAATTAGTTAAGAAAAAATTCATTGCTATTTAGTATTCGATATTTAATAGCAGGTAATAGCAAATACCTGTTGCGTTAAGAGCGTCTGAGTATGTCATATAGCGAGGAGCATATTAAAAACAAAGTGACTGAGGGATTGAAAGCTTCACATGTGGTACGTAAACCAACGATTCTTTCGTCACATTCTTTTTACCCCTTTTCTACATTGTGCCACGTATGATGACGTGTCGTTTTGCCAGGAACCGTTCTCGAAATTCTTGCCAATTAGTTTTGCGATTCGAGGATAAATTTCGGAGCGATAAACTTACTTTGGGGCCTCGCACAAGGGAGAATGCAGGGAAAACTGCAGCTCGCCTTGATCTCCTGCTTTGCCGTTCTTTTGAGATGCTGCGTCACTCATCATTCGCACAGCGGAGAGGGCAAGCCTCCTATGTACGGAGATTATGAAGCGCAGCGACACTGGCAAGAAATCACATTGAATCTACCCTTTGATAAGTGGTATATCAATACCACAGATAATGATCTACAATATTGGGGTTTAGATTATCCACCTTTAACGGCATATCACAGTCTTTTATTAGGTCACATTGCGAATAGAATAGATCCGTCTTTTGTAAAACTGCAGGAATCCAGAGGACTTGAAACTGTAGAGCATAAACACTTCATGAGACTGACCGTTCTAATTGCAGACATTTTAATTTATATACCAGCAATTATATATTTTGTAATCAATTTGCGTTTATCGGACAGTTGTCAATTTAATGAGTCCAATATATTCAAGTTTAAAAAAAGAGACGCCGTCCTCTTGACAGCGCTGATTTATCCAGGGTTGATATTAATAGATCATGGACATTTTCAATACAATTGCGTGTCGCTGGGTTTCTTCATCGCCGCTGCAGCTGCTATAATGCAAGATTCGGCCATCCTTAGCTCCATTCTGTTTGTTTTAGCGTTGAACTATAAACAAATGGAGTTGTATCACGCTTTACCGTTTTTCTTTTATATACTTGGGAATCATATATCCAATAAGACAAAATCTTGGCTTTTTTGTATTCGCATGTTAACATGCATCTCTTTTGTGGTACTATTAACGTTTTACGTTATTTGGATACCATTTTTCAAGAGTAGAGATTTATTTTTCAGTACGGTGCTTAGATTATTCCCGTTTTCCAGGGGTGTATTTGAAGATAAAGTTGCCAACATGTGGTGCACAATCAATGTTTTTTGTAAATTACGACAGATTTTTACGAACGCGCAATTAGCCAAGATTTGTTTAACGGTAACAACATGTGCAATTCTACCGAGTTGCATCAATTTATATTTTTTACCTACGAAAGATACATTTATACTTTCTCTAATAAATTCTGCCATAGCGTTCTTCCTTTTCTCATTTCAAGTTCACGAAAAGTCCATTCTTTTAGTTGCCGTACCGGTTTTATTGCATTTTCATAATGATCCTCTTCCTTGTTTTTGGTTCTTGATTATTTCACATTTTAGTATGCTACCATTATTTATAAAAGATGAGCTATACCTTGCTTATCTTGCCACAATAGTTTTTTATTTTTGTTTTGTTTCTTGGATATGGTCTGACGTATTTCACAACAACAAAACAAAGAGTTCGTTAAATAAGAGTACATCAAGATCAAAGAATAGAATACAACAATATAAGAAAAATAAATTTTTTTCAAATTTGCCAAGCTATAATAAAAAATCATGGCTCTTTATTGCATTCTATGGATCTATTTTAGGTGTGTTACTTCTCTCTATTGTCAGCAAATTTGTAAAACCCCCTGAAAAATATCCTGATTTATTTTCTCTCTTGGTATCAATTTATTCATGTGGACATTTCCTAGTTTTTTTTGTATATTTCAATTATGTCCAACTATTTGTCCTAAGGAAAGAGATTCTGGTGAGTAAAGTTAAGTCACATTGATGCAGTTATTGAAAAAAAAAATGTGTATAAATTATTATAAATAATAAATAAAAAAATATATATATATATTACCGCATCTTGTTATACTACCAGAAACATATTATTTTTAGTTCGCTACATATATTTCAATACTCCAAACAAGATAAGGATCTACCTTTGAACCTTGCTTTAAAACCTCTTTTAATTTGCGTTTAAAATCAGTATGATATTTCCATAGTAAGTTTTAGTAATATGAAAGAACTACTTTAGATCAGTTATATGCCTCTATAATAAATATATAAAATATAAGTTCTATTCTACCGAGTTGCATCAATTTATATTTTTTACCTACGAAAGATACATTTATACTTTCTCTAATAAATTCTGCCATAGCGTTCTTCCTTTTCTCATTTCAAGTTCACGAAAAGTCCATTCTTTTAGTTGCCGTACCGGTTTTATTGCATTTTCATAATGATCCTCTTCCTTGTTTTTGGTTCTTGATTATTTCACATTTTAGTATGCTACCATTATTTATAAAAGATGAGCTATACCTTGCTTATCTTGCCACAATAGTTTTTTATTTTTGTTTTGTTTCTTGGATATGGTCTGACGTATTTCACAACAACAAAACAAAGAGTTCGTTAAATAAGAGTACATCAAGATCAAAGAATAGAATACAACAATATAAGAAAAATAAATTTTTTTCAAATTTGCCAAGCTATAATAAAAAATCGTGGCTCTTTATTACATTCTATGGATCTATTTTAGGTGTGTTACTTCTCTCTATTGTCAGCAAATTTGTAAAACCCCCTGAAAAATATCCTGATTTATTTTCTCTCTTGGTATCAATTTATTCATGTGGACATTTCCTAGTTTTTTTTGTATATTTCAATTATGTCCAACTATTTGTCCTAAGGAAAGAGATTCTGGTGAGTAAAGTTAAGTCACATTGATGCAGTTATTGAAAAAAAAAAATGTGTATAAATTATTATAAATAATAAATAAAAAAATATATATATATATTACCGCATCTTGTTATACTACCAGAAACATATTATTTTTAGTTCGCTACATATATTTCAATACTCCAAACAAGATAAGGATCTACCTTTGAACCTTGCTTTAAAACCTCTTTTAATTTGCGTTTAAAATCAGTATGATATTTCCATAGTAAGTTTTAGTAATATGAAAGAACTACTTTAGATCAGTTATGCCTCTATAAAATAAATATATAAAATATAAGTTCTATTTTTCTTTTATTTTATAATCATCATCTTGAGACTTAAGTCGAACGCTTTATATCGCGATATAAGAATGTTTGTAATTACATTTAAGTGTTCTGACTATGTGTGATATATAATACAATTCATTAGAAACAGATAATCTTAATATCATCTATATTGAATTGATGCTATGAAAAAATGTTTTGCAGAATTTTGTTCTATGTATTATTTATTAATTATTAATTATATTAACAGAGAAAAAATAAACATCAAGGCAAACAATGATGTAACAAAAAGATTTGTTCGATAAAATTTTGTTAATGCACCTTTTGTAGTATTAATTTAATAGAACGTAGCAAGATAATTTGTTCAACAAATTATTCTGTATAAATCAATGATACGGAATATGAAATCGTAAATATATTTCATACGGCAGATAAATTGTTACTTACCCGTTTTTAGTAGCTCTGCAAAGATATATTGTTCCCAGTACATTGTTTGTTACAGGAGGTGGTAGATGAATCTGACGGTTGTGGTGCCAAATTCTCGGTAGTTGTGGTCTCTAATCTATTCCAAGGAAAGCCCACCCTGCAACGTCACAGGTAATATTGTCATTTTCACAGATTATAACAATATAAGATTTCAATACATATCTTTTCATTGAAACATATTAATACATTATGATATAAATATCAATTATATCAATTTCAATAATGGAGTACGTATAATTCACACAGGCTTGTATATGGAGTCTTGGAAGAAGAACTGAAGACAATTCATGCTATTTCAGTAACCACATTAACACCAGAGCAATGGGAAAAAACGAGAACTTGACTTGAATCTTATTAAATTTCTTTCGTATGGATAGGAAACTGATAATAGTTACTTTTGTCACAACTGTTTTGTGTATGTTAGCTGCTTCTAATACTTTATATAACTGAAAGACTATAATGCGAATATTATCCAAATGATTTTCTCTACATTAAACAAATACATTCCTTGTAGTTCTATCGTAGTATATCTCTATGTGTGAGAACTATAGCACAAATCCCTAATTTTTTTCTATATCAATCATTCTATTCAATATTACATAAATTTTTTAGATAATAAGAATTTTTATTCATATAAAGAATGATTCAGTTCCACATATCCGCACCAGGCAAGGTGATTTTGCATGGAGAACATGCGGTGGTATATGGAAAAACAGCTCTTGCGGCTAGCTTAAATTTACGTACTAAACTCAGATTCGAGGAACAAAATTGGGATCATATTCAAATAAATTTTCCCAATATCCATATGTCCTTAGATATACCTTTAGATATACTTTTAGAGTACTTCGAACCTTCTTATCCGTTTAACGAAAATACTAATCGATTGCTTGATCAAGTCGAACAATTTGTTAAAATAAAAAATGGTTTTTCTGGCAAGTACACCGGTATAAATGAACAAGTGTTAAGCTTACAAGCGGTACTTTACTTGCTCGTTTATATCGCCTACGAGGAACAGATGCAAATTAAACCTTTCTCCGTGAATTTATCTACGGAATTAAAAATCAACGCGGGTTTGGGCAGTTCGGCATCGTTTGCGGTATGTCTTGCAGCGTGCTTTCTTCACTGGGCACGTCGACAAAAGGGTGATGTTCATGATACATTCAACGAAAACGATCTCGAAAAGATCTCAAAATATGCTCTGAGCTGCGAGCGAATTATGCACGGTTCTCCATCTGGGATCGACAATAGCGTGTGCACATACGGCTCGATAATAGAATTTCGACGAGGAGAGCCGGTGAATGTGTTATCTAATATGCCAAGCCTGGATGTTCTGCTAGTCGGCTCGAATGTCAGTCGGAATACGAAAAATCTAGTAGAGCGAGTGGCAGAGACGAGACGATCTTATCCCGCAATTATCGATTCGATCTTCGACAGCATAGACGCTGTATCAAAGGCGGCTATTCAGGTGCTCGGTGAAATACACGACGTTCAGACAACTAACGATGCGGATCTTCTGCAATCACGATACAAAAAATTATTTGTAAGTCTCACATTCTCTCTGCGAACTTCAATATTATTTCGTTACATATTCCAATGTAGTTGTGCATTTTTTTCCTGTATAAAAGATTCATGTACATAATTATCCGCTGAAAGTTAGTCATTCCACATTTAGTCGTACGTTTTGCAGGCTCTCATCCATACGAACCAAGGATTACTTAGTGCATTAGATGTATCACATTCAAAATTGGATTTGATTTGCAAAATAGCACGGGATCATGCATTCGCGGGGAAACTCACAGGCGCTGGTGGAGGTGGATACGCATATGTTTTGCTACAGCCGGATATTGAAGACGCACGCATCACGGTTCTCTCTCATCTATTAGAATGTGCAGATTGTTCTGTCGTAAGAACCAAGTTGGGTTACAATGGAGTGACAATTGACTATGCCTAATACAATTATTATAATGGGATAGGATTAGTAATAGAATCATCAACATATATGAACAGATATTAAGATTACAACTTAATTATAATGGTGTTATAAATGGAAGGACAAAAAAAGAATAGAGAATTTTACATACGAACTCTATACATTAGATAATAAAGCATGTATCTATTAAATAAATATACAAATTGTTACATCGTAGATGGGAAGATAACTATGAAATTTTCTTTCGCGCTGATATAATATATAACAATATCAGATATGTCTATGTATAACTTGTAAATTACTGTCATTGATTCGCACGATATATAAGAACCGGCTCGAGAGGAAAAAAGTGTGTTCTTCGTTTATATTTTGACTTAGAGAAATAGAATCTTGTCCAACTTCATAAAAAAAATAATAAATAGAAGCATAAATATCATCCTGCAGATCCCGTATTTTCCTCTCGAGCCAACTCTAGAGGTCTATTTTAATTATATTAAAATTGCAATAATTAACAATGCGAATAAAACTTTTATAAAAAACAACAAAGATAACTGCTTATTTTGTACCTCAAAATGATATCAGAATAGTTTTGATCTAATATATGAGTATTGTGCTTAATGACATATCTCATTGTATATTATATATATATAAATAATAATCAGTATCAACTTATATTTATATATCAATCTCGTAAATTATTATACATTCGTACTGTGAAACTATAATGTGCATCAACAAAGTTGAGGCGCACCATAATAATTGTTAAATTATTTACGCTTAAATAGAACAAAATCATTTTGTAATGTTCGCGACTAGTTTGTAGTATCAAAATATACATATAAATTATATCTGTTTATATTAAGACTTGATGATAATTAATCGTACCTCTTTTAGAATTCTATTGATAATTAAAAAAAGATTTTTGATCCAACACATAATACATTATCTTTTCCTACAAAAAGATATTTGCGTTAATGTTTAAGCGAGTCATGCATTTTATACAGTAAATGTACTTACACTAATGTAAGCAAAAAATATAAATTAATTTTCAGAATACTATAAGTCACGCCGCTATCTTTATCTTTATTAGATTATAACTATTGTTTTATTGATGATGCAAATTGCCGTTTGTTACAAGATGATCTGTATCGGAAATACTGTCACCATTTGGATCCTCTATATTATGCGCTACATTAGGTACCAGTTGTTTCTCTTCCGACTTCACTTCAGCTATCCATTCGTTTATCTCATGAGTATACATCTTTCTTTGTAGAACATCTCGCGTTCGCGGTCGCGAACCGATGAACAGGGTGCTCCCTCCAACGACTAAAGAGTTGCGCAGATTTTCCAGAATTTGAAAATCTTCAATTATGCATTGCAATTCGTTCCACTTTAATTCCACTTCCTCATGGAGCATCTTTTCTTCTAAAGATCGAGATATGCAAGAATACTTGTTATATAAAAGTTATAAAATTTTTAGAAATAAAGAGAGAAAGAATCGTTTATTGCTAAAATATTTACCGTCGTGTTTTGAAGTCGATTTTTTATATTGTATCCTAAATCGAAAAGCTTCTAAGAAACTGGATACTACGATAGTCAATACGATCATTGTTACCAAATAAAATATCATAAAGTATATCCTTGTGTACATGCCCGCGGTAAACGCGTATGCATTCATTTGTATAAACCAATTATTAACAACTGTTAATTCGAAGAGTGTCATGCCGCTCGCTAGGAGATTGTCGAAAGTATTGAGATAGTAGTATCCCAGTGCTGTGCTACCATTGACGGAATACTCGTAAAAATCTTCGACGGTTGTATTCCTGTCAAGAACATTTATGAAAATCAATAAAAATTAAAAAAAGAAAATTGAGAGAAAAATACATATTCGCTTTTTTTAATTATTGTAATTAATTTGGCACTAACTTGCAGCAATTTCGCATATCGTATCCGGCGAACAATTCCATCCCGATAATCGCGAAGAAGTAGTACAAGACCAGCATAACGATCGCCGTCGAACACATCTGGGGAGATAAAATCACGAGGGTGCCGAAAACGTCTCGATAGCGCTTCTTTATCTTGAACAATCTCAATGTTCTGAGTGGCCGGAACATAACCAGGAATGTAGCCAAGGGAAATAAAATAAGAGCGCACGCGGCGACAAGAGTCATTATCGATGTTCCCAAGTCAAAGAGATTCCATCCTGAGCTCAGGTAACATCTAATACCGAGAGCTAATACCTTCGCCAATGCTTCGGCCACAAAAACTGTAAATTTATTTATGCGTTTCTTTTCTTTCATGATATATATTTATGCATTTTTATGTTTTTTAAGATTTTTTTTACTTACGTCCGCCAAATAATAGAGTATCCCAACACGCAGCGAATCCATGTGCCGATTCCTCAAGACTGCTACTCGGTTCTATGATTCTTATTATCATGGCGATACAATTGCCAGTAATAATAACACCTGCAAAATTATACAAACTGTGAGAAATGAGGTTTTCTCGCGAATGTCAATCATTTGCACAAGTGTCATTTACTTACACACCAACATTTCGAAATATGGCCATTTGATAACAGTGTGGGCGCCTGTGCACAACATCTGCAGAGGCCACCATGTCGTGGTTCGATACCATGGTATGTTAGAGTATTGTAAGTCCCACTGAAGTGTCGCGGCGTCGTAAATCGACAAGAATTCCTCGCAATTTAAAGCGGCGCTCCCCGATGCATTCATATGGCAAAACATTAAAACAACGTCTCGTATGGCTATAAAATGCATAAAATATTGTAATTGCAGGTATAGACATTATTTGATTGAAGAATGTAGATTTGCTTTTGCTTTCTAAGTATTTATTATATGACTTGAAATTTGAAGAAAAATGCTAAGAAAAATAGTAATAATAATCTTGAATACTTACATTTGTTTGGAGCGTAATACCGCATTAAACCTTCGAACTGACGGAATCGCATTTTGTCGGGGTTCTGTTTGGAAACTAGTAGCTTAAAAGCGTGCTGACATGCTTTCCTCTTATGCAGAAACAGTTTCTTAAACTTGTCGCGTTCGCGAGACGTGAACGTTTCGTTTACCACCGCCAACATTAAATTCATCATTACGTATAGCATGGTACATAAATAAGATACAAAGTATATCGCGTACCATTTATTTTGCGAATACGACGGCATCATTACATCCGGAAAACTACAAGTTGCATAAAGAGTAAATTGTATTGTTTTAAATTAATTACATTGAATTATATCGTCTACTCACTTAGCAGTGGTAAGAAGGACAAACAGACTGACGAAGCTATCTTGCAATGTGAAAAAATTCCTGTTCATTTCACTGAACATGTAATAGCCTAATACGGTATATATAATAATCAAGAAAAAAAGAAGTCCCAACATATCTAAGATAGGTGGTAATGTGAGAAGTATCTGCCTTATAAATCTCCTTACACCTCCGCAATATTTTGTATCTATTAAAAAGATAGGTCTCAGAGCGCGCGTTACGCGGAAATGCGAGGATTGCCGTACCAGGATTGTCATAGCTTCGAGAAACATAATAACTAACGTGATAAACTGAAACAGAAATTAATTTATGATATTGACAGAAAGTCAATAACCTGGGTTAACGATGCATCGATAGTTTTTTTTTTCTTCATAAGAATCGTATGTCATCTCGTTTCATTTGAATTTCATGAAGAGTATTGCGATGTGTCTGACATTGTACTTGTAACTCAATAACTCCTTATGTAAGTAAATTAAAATGTCATTATATTCGTGTTGTAGTATTCATTACTCATCTGGGCGACGCGGCTGTTGATCATTAATGAATGCATGACTACTGTCTGATACTCTTATATCATTACATATTAATTCACAAGTGTATAAACAGCTATTTAGATAATCTGATTATACAAATATTCTGTTTTCTTATCGTATTTTTTGTAATATTTTTTATGTAAATATGTCAAACTATTGCTGCATTCTCACAGATGTATAGATTTCAAGTAATGTTTCTTACTTTCAGCATTGTACGTTTATGTTTTAACATAGGGGCCCAGCCAGTCCATCTCAGCTTTAAAGCTAATTCCACACCAATACTAGATAATCTGATTATACAAATATTCTGTTTTCTTATCGTAGTTTTTGTAATATTTTTTATGTAAATATGTCAAACTATTGCTGCATTCTCACAGATGTATAGATTTCAAGTAATGTTTCTTACTTTCAGCATTGTACGTTTATGTTTTAACATAGGGGCCCAGCCAGTCCATCTCAGCTTTAAAGCTAATTCCACACCAATAGTAATTAAAGCAAGTAATTCTACTGAACCATGTACCCACACTGGTACCTGAAACAAAGCATATAAATGAGAAATATTGATAGAAAAGAATCACATATTTGATTTATTTGTCTGTGACATACTTTGAATAGTGGGAGAGATGGTTCTTCTACAAATGCAAGAGATAGCAGGATTAACGAAGTCATCAAATCCAATCCATTATAACAACTGTTATGGACTAAGAGATATGCTGGCAAATCCTCAGGATGTTTCGGATGAGAATCAAATTTCTCATTATTTCTACCTTCCTAAAAAAGTATTTATACGTTGCTCATAATGATTAGATACTACAATTTAACATAATTTAAGGTCTCTCATATAGACATATAATTAAGAACAATAAGCTATGTATCTTTGTATTATACAACATATATTATGTATATATATAATGCTATATACATGCTATAGAGTAGGCATCCTTGAGAAAAATAATTGGTCACTCAATTGTTTGCTCATACATATATAAGCATGTTGCTTATATACATTGTGTTATTAACAAATTGCTATTGAGATATGTATGTATAATCGATACACAATTACCTCTAAAAATATTGCAGCTTCATGATAATTCATTTCCCAATGCATGTCCACATCAAGAGTTGCATCGCATGGAGTAAATACTATATTCTCAGTCATACTTCCAGCCCCTGTTTCACCCGCTTCGTATTTACTATTCATCTGATTAGCAGTATTAGCATTGTCAAATGAAAACCTCACATGACTTTCCGAAGAAGGTGAAGACAACATAGAGCCATATTCTGTAAGAGATAAAATTTTACAGATCGTCTCAATGTGACAAGCTTATAGCATACCTTTACAAGGAAGCTCCATAAGTTTCTCAATATAAATCAATATTTTTACAAGTTAATAAAAATTTGGAATATTTATTGAAGAAATAATTGTTAAGACTATATTTGTTATCAGCGAAGAGCCAAAAATTTCGACAACTAAAGTCATAACTTGTCACAAGTCATGTTTATCTTGTCAAAGAAATATTATCATTGAAAAGTAAATATTTTTCCTGTCACAAGTACATATTCAACGTTGCAGCCATTTCGTAATGACATTATCTAGATGAATTTAGGACATTAAAGATTAGAAGCTGACTCACGTCGACTGGAGCCATTGGAAATCTCTTGATCGAGTGGCAGACCCGTCTCATTGTTAAATCGCTGATAATCGGCGGCCTGTTCTCCAGACCGCGACGAAGACATTGGAGCGCGCGTCGCGTTGCACAGCTGACGCGCACTGCACTAACGGCACCGTACTTCCTTTCCTGTCAGCGCGTCACGGTTGACAGATCCTGGTCGACCTTGGCGGATTCAACGAGCCGGCAAACTCTGACGACTCCACTGAGACGACGACAGACTCCAACTGGATGACGCGACGCGCGCGGAAATGTATATAGGCATGTGTGCGAACATATGATATAGATATTCCATGTTCCTGCTGCTATTACTAAAACGCATCGATATCGACGATCCGCTTGACATTATTATGAGAATGTGTAACTGTTCTCTCTTGCTCTGCGTATGATTAAACGAGACAGATGTATGTAAATATGCGCGGGTTGATATGGCGAATGAGAGAAAGGAACAAAGCATGGAAAGTGCAACGCGCATGCGAAAACCCCACTGCTGACTTTCAAAGTTCACGCCGTGATACATATATATGTGATAGCAATTAATAAAATATTAAAAGCCACTACGACTCTAATCAAGAAATATTTCTATCGTTTTAATTATGAATGATTGCTCCGTGAAAGATCACGCATAAGTCTTATGAATAGCACGTGATAACAAAGTTCATTGTCCTTTACCATATATGTAATGAGTAATGAGAAATGCGAGTTTTTGTATTCGATAAACGGACGTTGTCGCATTTCTCGCGGCATTTACGTAAGATAATGTAATTCATGCTCACTCAGCTGGCTTCATGTGATCGTACATACGTAATCATAATATGTATGCACTCGACTGATTCTTATCAACCATGCTGAATAATAAGAAATCTTAGGCGAGACAATAAAAATTATAATTATGCTTATCAAAAAATAATTATTACTAATTATATTCCTTTAAATTCAAATTTATACGAGCATTATAAATAGGGGTAATTTAATAAATAATAATTGATACATCAACTGCTCCGGGAACTCCGACCAACTGCAAAAAAATAACAAGTGTTATATACGTTCTCTAGTATATAAATAATGATTTTTTTCCACAAATACATTCATTATTTCTTTTAGTTGGTTCTTTCTGCCGATGATTCATGTAACTTTCTAAATTCAACAGATTGCACATAGCTTTCTAAATATTATACGAGCGAATTATTATATTTTGTACATGTTTGAAATCTCGTGTACATCACGCGAAATCAGTGGCAGCCACGCCATTGGTGAAAAATCTCTTCTTCTTTTTATGTCACAACAAATTAATACAATCCTTTATCCTAAATAGCATATAAATTTCTATCGAAATTTCGGGGATTGCTTTTCACGTTGCATTCGTCACAAATCGTCAAATTGAAAGTATTATATATAGGTCCATATTTTTGTCACGTGCTCATACAAGGTTTCACTGATGAAATACTCTGAACGATACGATTGAATTATTCTTCTTATCAGTTAATGAGTTCCGTTTTTCTCGCCGTGCACAATCTAGTCGAATATTTCTCGCTTATCACAACCGTCGTTCGCCTCTTCGATCTGCTGTCTGCTCAAGATGATATGCTCGAGGTGACGAATTAACTCGCATCCTACGAATTCACATTGATCGTTATCTTTATTTATTATTAGAGTGTTGCATTGTTAATCGGCCAAAAACTGGTCGATTACATAACATCTCTTTGAGACGAGAGTTTGTCTCTGAGCAGTTAATGCCAGTAAAAAAATAGATCATTATCACAACTGTTATGCTCATATTTTTCTCTATAAAGGGAAGATTTTTAAATGATGTAAAAAGCATTATATAACGCAATTTCGATATTTGTAGGTGCGCAAAATGTGTTCGGACCGAGACGATCCGGCTTGATCTGCGCAGTTTGAATATTCAAGGCGACGTCCGTCGTGT